AACGGGTACCCTTGTTCTAACCTCTCAAATCTGGAGGACCTAGGAAAGGAGACCACCGGTTTTGGGACACTCCCCATTTCGTCCGGGTTTCGGGGAGTTGGACCTGAAAAGGAGCCCTTGCTTCGGAGCCTCCGTTTCGCATGGTTCTGCGCCGCCTCGTTCAAGGGGTCCCAAAGCGAGCCATCATTCGGTCATGTCTGGGCAAATGTTTTGGCCACCTCTCCTACAGGCTGTTGGTTTGCGACCGCCGGTCAATGAATTCCAGTTGTGCGTGCAGGTATGGGTTTGTCTTCAAATGTGGGACCCACACAATTGCGTGTGTTCGCTTTGGTGTTCCATGAAAAGAAACGCCCCAAAGGGGAAACCCCAAAAAAGGACACCACTTTCCCCGTTTTGAAGGCTGAAAAGTCACCCTCCGGCCAAGCCTCATTCGATACCTGAACGTTTGTCGTGCGCAGAAACCACCAGAAGAAACGCATCGCTCTCTGGAAGCAAGCAGCGAAGGTGCAGGCGCAGCGATTTCAGTTTGGGTGGTTTGACTCGATCGCTTGTCCAAAACAGACCTTTTGACCTGCTGGTGCTCTTTGTTTTTTCCGTCCATGTTCCACAAGGGACCTATTGTGACCTGTTGTTTCCAGGTCCTTTATGCAGCGGAGGGACTCTTCGCGTCATTTTGATGCTAAAAAACCGCACCATGCCAATCGGACCCCAAAAAATGAATTGAACCCCACTAGAGGAACCACCCTGCACTGTCGTCCGGATTCCAAAGTTAGAACTGGCAGCTCCAGTGCTACATTGGTTTTAACTCTTAAGGGTGTTCAAACTTTTTGAGGGCAGTGTGTTGGAAAGGAAGCAACTGATGGTTGCGGGACATTGGGTTTGAGGTTGCATGGTTTCTGATGGAATCTCACCCCGAGACCCTGAACTCTATCTAGGTAAGATAGTTTTACTGGCAAGCAAGACGTGTTTTTTGTCAATCCACGCAGGAAGTGAGGAATCCGCTTGCGAGTGACACAGTGGTCATACACATGGCCAATCTTAACATGACAGAAAGGATCAGACAGGTGTCTAATATATGTACATATATATATACATTGATATATACATATATATATATATATACATAGATATATATATATACATACATGAAACAACGATGGGAAACCCGAGCACGCTGCCTAATGCAGAGGCCTGTCGCTTCTTTTTTTCTATCGGCGCACATTTGCTACACGGCCCGAGTTTGTTGATGTTGCACTCGGCGCAGAGGCAAGGGAAGATTGCATGTAACTTTCTTGTTAGGTGTGTGTGTGTGTGTTTTTTTTTCAATGGGGCACCCTTGGCCTTTGGTTTTCCTGTGAAACCACTTCAAAAGGATTCCCCTAAAAGAAGACAGGTGGTGTTAACCCCGGATTGATTCTCGGGTGATTTTTCCGGTAATTTGAATCTTGCCCTAAGCAAATTCAAGCAGGGGTCGATTACTTTCTGTAGCAAGACACACTGCTTTGTCCAGAGAGGCAAACTTCTGAGGAAACCACATCCTCCCTTTCGACTTTTTGCTATGGCTTGTTTGGAGGGATTACGTGCACATCCTTTGGCGTCCCTTGACGGACATTCGCCCATGAGCCCTTATGCGTGAAAGCTGTTCGAAAAGGAATACTTATTGCCAGAACCAACTTGCTTCGTTTGTTGGATTATAACAACCAGAAGGAGCACCCGGGCCTGAAACAGAATTTAGAGCTGGACACTGTATGGGATGCGCATGTTGTTTCTTATCAAGAGGAAACGGCGAAGGGGTGATGAATCTAAGTGAATCTTGCACTGCACCCACTCCAATACACCCAAGAAAAACCGGAGTATAATCCTATTTATGTATAGTGGAGTAAAAGTTGGTTAGACAATTACCACACTTCCCCTGTTGAACGGTTGGAGTTGTGGTTGGACCCTCGAAACACAGGGGTTGTGAGCTGTGTGGGTGCCGTGTGCCGCTCAGAAGCTGAAAGATGAGAAAGAGGAAGACCGCCAGAGGCGGCTTCTGCGCCTCACAAAAGCGGGAAAATGCGGTCAGGATCATAGGTCTGCGGGCCGAAAAGGGATGGTTGCCCTAATGTCGACCCCGGATGAATAAACCCCCTGTTTATGGGGGGTGTTCCCTCCGCAAGTGATAAATGTTCACTAAACCCAGCGACACCCCCATAATAAACAGGGGTTTATTCATCCGGGGTCGACATTGGCTGGCACTGATTGGCCTCTAGACCAGGTGAACCTCTTCTTTTTTTTGTTTATCCCTATTTTGTTTTTGTGTTTTTGGTTTTTCCTTGTATGTCTTGGAGTTGCTAACTGTCACTAGGTCCCCCAGCTAGGTGCCCTTTCTTACCCCTTTTTTGGGGGAGGGTTCCCCTAGTAAAATAGACTACAGAAAAGGTTGGTACCCTTATTCTAACCTCTCTACTGGAGGACCTCGTGATCATAGGATCAAAGACGTAGGAAGTATCGCAAGGCTCCTCATGTTATGTGTGGGTGTTACTATATGTTTGCGGGAGGGTTCTGGTTCAAGCATTTTGTCTCCATCGGATTCCAACCCCACTCCCAGAACCACCCCACCCTATCTCCGGGTTTGGTCTCATTTGAAGCAAACCAGGCGGAGGGCGTTTCGGCTAGGGGGAGTTGGCATCTTATGATTGTAAAGAGGGTCTGCAAATGTTTGCAAAGAACAAAAGTGTTTCCCCACATATTGGGGGTTGAGACTGTTATCAATTATGGCTTGTCTTCACAGTTGATCATCCCAGAAACAATCAAGTTTCAAAGTTGCTCACTCTAAAGGAAAGATACATTGTTGAGGTGCCTCCCTGCATGCTTTTCGCTTTTGCTTGCGAGAGGGTGCCACACGATGCGCAGCCATCAAAAAGAGTCCCCACCAAATACTAAATGGATAGGTAGGGGTCCACATCCCTTCACTTCTTGTACATGTTCCATGGCTTCTCTTGGTGGGTCAACAGAATTCATGTTTCAAGCAGGGGGGTGTTGACGGTTGCGGGGATCTTCCAGTTTTTGTTCCTGAGTCTTGTAGCCTTCCTGTCTCCACTGGAGGGATTGTGGTTTGAGGTCCCCCCATGGTTGTTGGGAACATTTTACATTTTTGCATCTTGTGTTTTAGCGGTTGAAATCCAAATCCACGCAACAGCTAAAAAACATCTCAATGTTTGCTCCCCTAACGTCAACCAAGCGGCCGCCCCATGGTGGGAGCTCGTATCCAGCGGTTTCCCGACGCCGAAGTCACATATCCTATGGCCTTGGACCACGCCCGTCCGGAGACTTCAGCCTATGACACGTTTCAATTGGCGGCAAATGTCCTTTGTTTGGGTGTGTCCTTTTTTGTGTGGGTATTTGTGGGTTGGTCAAAAAATGGGCAACCAAGGGAAACTGAAGCCACTTTTGAGGGTTCCCTATTCTGAGACCCATACTGTGGATGGACGCACTCCATTTCGCACCACCTTTCAGAAACCCTGGAATGATTCGATTCCCCCGTAAATACACAACCACCTAAGAAACCCTGGAATGATGATTCTCCAACGTAAATACCAACAAATACTGGTTTTCACTGGTTTCAAAGTGATGCAAAATGGATTTCGCAACCATCCACAGGGAGCCCTTGAGGCAGAGGCTGCAAGTCTTTCAGCTCCTCAAGCTGTCGCGGGAGCACGATGCCCCACTTCAGTTAGCAGGTCCCCGAGTGCCCTTTTGCTTCTTTTTTTTTTTGGGGGGGGGGTGTCCAAACCAGAATAGACAAAGCCGAACAAGACGGTACCAACTTATTCTAACATATTCTAACCCCTCGACAGGACCTAGGTGAGTTCCCCTTTCCCTCATTCTATGGTCTCTGAGCATCTGCGTGTTTGCGTTTGGCCCGCTCCGGCTGGAAAGCCCACGGAAGGTGGGGCTTGCCCATTTCGCGGACCTAAATTTACGAGGAAGGGCCTTTGGACAAATCAAGTTGGAGCTTCACGGGTAGGTCACCAGTGCGTGGGTATCTGTGAATCTAAGTCTAGATCTGTCCAGTGGCGCGCCCTCCCATGCAGCAGTCCCAAGCCGCAAGCGCACGAGTTGTTTTTGCTCAGTCGGCAGGCAGGAGCAAGTGGAGGAGCAATTGCAGGAGCTGCTGCAGACGCAAGAGCAGATGGACCAGGACCGCTGGAATCTTTCATCGACCCAAAGCCAAGCTGCAGGTCCATTTTTTTGTTAGGAGGTCCTTCTAATGTTGACACGATATTAATAGGGGGGTGTCACTGGGGAATCATCGGGGAGCACCCCCCTATTAATTTAGACAGGGGTTGATTCATATGGGGTCAACATTACCCCGCAGAAAGATTGTGAGATTGCTTCGAACGACCTCCTACAAACATCTCCTGGGTGTTGGGGGGGGGGGGGGGGGGGAGGAACTTTGGGTTTCCACCAAAAACAACGGCCTTGGGTTTCCTTGTTTTTGGAAGGTGCAATATGTGGTCTATCGCCCCCCATTGAATTTGAGAGGGTCTATCGGTGAAACCGCGGAGGAATCGCACCATGCCGATGTTCACGCCCGCGCCGTTTGGGCTCACGACAATGCCAGAATCTAGGCACCTGCAGAAGAACAAGCGGAGGGAGCAAGTTAGAAAGTCTTGTCCCTGAGGATGAAAGCGAAGCAATTACCCGTTCTATCCTTCCGTGGAGATCAGAGTCAGCTGTGGTGTCATTGTCTGCAATCCCGGTCGCTCGTTGCAACGGCACCAAGCCACATCTGTGTGGAATTTACAAGCGGAGCACGCTTTGGTCGACATCCTTTAGGGGTTCATGTCCACCAACCACTTTTGAGGTGGTTCCCCATTAAAGTGCGCAGCCATATTGCATTTAACCAAATATATAATTCCTTGTAACGGAGACCATGTTTTCCGCGGTGAAGATTGTCTCTTTGCGCCCCATCTTGGAGCCCAGCGTTGTCAGGCCATGTTTTTAGCTACTGTACATGACTGGGCGCGAACTACTTGGTAAACCTCCCAGATGGCACAACGCTCTTGAGCGCCGGAGCTCATGGCATGGCGACGTCGACACAAGGTACGGAGCACACGTTCCCCATTAATTGAGCACACAGATGCCCGATGGTGCCTTTGTTCTTTTTTTGGAGGGGGTTCCCCTTGCAGTCAACTTAGTCAAACAAGTGTGCCGTTTCTTTTGTTAGGGTTGGGTTCTCATTGAAAATGACCGTTGGTACCTTGTCAAATCTGTCTTTGAGGAACCATTTGGGCGGTTGTTGTTGGTGGTGGTGGTGGGTGAGGCGGGGCGGGCGGGCGGGTGGGCGGGCGGGCGGGCGGGCCGGCGGGCGCGCGGGCGGGTGGGTGGGTGGCGTTTGGCGGCTGGCGGCTGGCTGGTTAGCGGGGTTGGTGGAGTGGGGTTGGTGGGTGGGGTGGGTGGGGTGGGTGGGGTGGGTAGGGTGATTGGTGGGATTGGTGGGGTTGGTGGGGTGGGTGGGGTTGGGGTTGGTGGGTGGAGTGGGTGGAGTGGGTGGGGTTGGTGGGGTGGGTGGGGTGGGTAGGGGTGGGTGGGGGTGGGTGGGGTTGGTGGGGGTGGTGGTTGGTGGTTGTGGTTATTGTATTTGTTGTTCCTGATCGCGGATTATCTACTTGAAAGGGCTCCGGCAGGTCTTGCTCGCATATGCCAAGAGTTGTAGCTCAACCGAATCCCCAGCCCCGAATTGAAGCGAGTCCATCTACAAGGGTCCCATGGTCCGTGGGACGGAAACCAATGTACCAGCGTAAACCTACATGTTAGGGGATACAGCCAAGCTTGAGCGGTGACAACACACTACCTGAGGTCACCATGGGTCACCCATAAAGGCTCCTGTCTTCGGGTCTCAAAAAATTCCATTCGGTAATAACTGCCTCATTTTCAGGTAGGTCAGGTTGGTGGATGACAATGTGCCTAGATGGTTGTGTTTGTTTTACGTTTCCCTGTTTCACCTTGGGGGGAAACCAAAAGTTTGGGTCCCCCGATTTCAACAGATGCTGTCCCTTGCTCAGGCAACCCGCTCTGCTGGCAAGATGGCGGCGGCCTCTGTCTTGGGGTCGCACCTCTTCAGTGTCCAAAGAAAAAACACGCGGGGCATGCCCTTGGTTCCCCTTCTTTTTGGACAGGGGGTTGCCGAGTGCCCTCTAAAATAAGCTACCAAAAGGGATCTGGGCCATGTCAGTGCAAACTGTCGATGATACTGTGGATGGATAAACTCTACTTCGGATCAGTTGGTAGGTGGTTTATCCCAGCATTAGAGTTTCATCCATCCCAACTGGTGCCTATCGCGGATTCCGTGCTTCCAAATTTATGTCGTCCAAGCTTTTGGGTTGTCTTCCCATCTGTCCATAGGAACCTCTCCCCAAAACCCCGGAACTGCGCCCTCAAGAAATACCAAAGACGCTCTGCTTTCTTCGCAAGACTTGCATTGAAACTGAAAGTACTTCTTGGATGGGCCAGCTGGAAACTGGGCTCCCTTGGAGATGTGGGCCAAGTTTACTTGTTGGATGTGCTTGTTCGGTGTTTCTCTCTCACTTTCCCTCTTTGGGAAAAAGCTGGCGACTTGCACTTTCTGTCCTGGTTGTTGTTGGGAAGCCTGTTACATTCTTGCTTTTTGTGGTTTAGTGGTTGAAATCCGAATCCACTGAACTGCTAACATTTGATTATATATATATATATATATATATATATATATGTATATATATATATGTATATATTTGTTCTCCCCTTCCAACGTCAACCAAGGTTCTCCTAGTGGTTGATCACAGTTAAACGTTGTGCACCTTCAACGTCCACCGAGCTGTGGATGTGCCCTCCCCCAGAGCTCCCGGGAAGCGCCGAGCCGAAGCAGCCGATTCTTTGACGCAGCGCCGAGGCGGCTATAGCTTCGACTTCTGCTGCGGCGAGGCGGGGATCAGATGGCAGTGGATATGGTCAAATTTCACCATCTAGGTCCCCCAGTAGTGCCCTTTTACCCTTTTTGGAGGGAGGGTTCCCCTACTAAAATAGACTGCAGAAAAAATAGGGTACCCTTATTGTAACCTCTCTACTGGAGGATCTAGCCATGTTGTTTGGGGTAAGGATTGTAATGAGCCTCTATTTTTAGTGGTTGGATTGAATCGGATGTTCACTGGGGCTTTGGACATCCATGCCACCACAAATTCCTATTGATGCCCATCATTCTCTTACTTGGGGCTTTGGACAACCAATAGTTACAAAATCCTATTGAGTCAACCACGCCCATGCGCATTGCAAGGTCAAGGTTTGGAGGTATTTATGGCTTCGACAGCCAATCTGTGCGTTGGTCTCCAAGCGTGGGCACCCCCTCCTAAAATATTCGGAAGGGTTTCCGGTGTTCTTTTTGTTTCCGCCTACTCATTTGCCCAAAGTCCGCCTTTCTTGGTTTCCTCTTGTTTTACCCCAAACTGGGATTGGACCCGTGTCTCTAAAGACGAGAGCTTGATGAGTTCCACGTGTTCTTCTTGGGGGAGTCTTATGATCACTGTTCTTGGCATGTGTTTTTGGTATTGTTTGGTGTTGGTATTTGGCCTCTCGTCCATTTTGTGTTGCTAGCATGCCAAGGGTTGGAAAGCTTCCGATTGATCCTTCGCAGGTGTATGAGCCGTGTTTTTTGGGATTTGAGATGCTTCGGAATCAGCCAGATCTTTCCAAGAGAGACATCAGGGCCCGGCCTCTTGCCCCTAAGCCTTTCTGAGTGATTCGGCACAGAACTTGTCAACTTTGCCTTTGGCATGGAACTTTTGCATTTTGCCCCAACAAACACATCAAAAGATGGTGAAGTGTGCAGTTGGTTTCGGGCGCCCTTCGCATCCTCGGAAACGTTCCTTTGGCCCAGGGCGCCCACAACATGCTGGGCAACCCTTCCTGCTGGGAAGGCCCCCGGAGCTTCCAGCCGCGTGGAGACATTGGCGATTTTGGGGCGGCGCAGTCTTTTCACGCCCAAAAGGACACGAGTCCCGTCTAAAGATTTCAGCAGGTAACATAAAGGTCGAGTAAATTCCATGAAGGTCTGAACATGGGAAGTGACGGCTGGCTTGCAGACGTTATGCAAAGGAAGCCAAACACACAGGCCCAAGCAGTCGAGGCGCACGCGGTGCTTTGTTCAGGGAATTTATTTACAGCTGGGAGTTGAGGGACCCTCTCTTCAGTCCAAGTGGACCGCGGGGTTCCCAGGAGCTTGGCACTCTTCCAAGCCCCTATTGAGGCTTTTAAGGGTAAAGTCTTCTGCAGAGCATGGCTATGAAGGCACTGGGAACTCCAGCAAAGTGAACAGCTGATCCTTTTCAGTACCAACCTCTGAGTCACTTGAGGGTTGACACAAAAAAGTTGCCAGTGTCCAAAAGTATGAGCGTCCTTTTGGTTTCCCTTTACCAACCCAAAAGGGGTACCACCTAAAAAAAAGGCAGCCGCATATGCCCATGGGTCAAAAAATCCCGTACCCACAGCGCCATATTTGTGTTTGCCCCTTTTGGTGGTTGGATTCAGGCCACCTTTTGGAGGGGTTTGCACCCAAAAAAACTGGGACGGTCCCCTTGTGGTTGGATTCAGCCCACTTTTGGGAACACCCCAAAAAACTGACTGGGACGGGTGGTCTGACTCTGACTCCTCCACGCTCTCTGTCCAGCGCCACGTCTCAGGACTTGCTGCCTTCCGGCCAGCTACGAAGCCGCCTGCTGGAGGGAGGCCAGGGACTTCCTGCGCCCCTCGGCCTCGGCGCGCGGCCACGCGTCGCTTCGCGGTGAACGGGTCGCTGGGTGGAGGGAAAAATTTTGGGCGGCGGGGGGGGGGGGGGGAAAGGGGTAGAGTCTGAGAGGCTCAAAACGGCTTAAGGGGGCTGAAGCCGTCGGTTGCAAACATGCCCCCCTGCATCTTGCCGAAAGTATGGTTGAACCATTCAACACTGAGGCACTCAGACGCTTTTGCCTTCTCTTGCAGACAAGGAGGTCCTTGCAACCGACCTGCCGCTCGGCAGTGATCGTGTGGCACATGATTCGTCTTGAGCACGTGCGCCTGTTTCATTGGCGTGTCTGTGCATCATACCCTCAAAACAGGCCCCATGTTTTGTTCAGGCAGCCCTTTCTGGGGCTGTTTGAAGAGAGAATACATTTTCGGAAAAGCGCATATCAGTGAAGTATGTGTGATGCTGCGCTTGCCTTCACAACTGCATCATCGAATGACAAGAGGGGACACCCGGAAGCAATTGCATCATTGCATGAAAGGGGGCGCTGGCAACACATCATGCCAAAACGCCGCAGGTCCTCGCAATTTGAGCTGCATCACCTGCATCAGTGAAATTTGCTTTGCTTGCCTTCACTCGGAAGCAAGTGCATCATTGAATGATAGGGGGGGGCTGGCAACCCATAATTCCAAAACACCAATTTCCTCACAATTTGAGCTGCATCACCTGCATCATTGAAATTTGTTTTTCTTACCCGGAAGCAATTGCATCATTGAATGATAGCGGGGGCTGGCAACCCATCATGCCAAAACGCCGCAGTTCCTCACAATTTGAGCTGCATCACTTAAGGGCTCTAGGATACCTGATAAACTACATTGCAAAACGAAAAGGCACTTCAGGAGTGTTTAGCCTTTTTGTTTATGTGCGATTTTTTTTGTACATGCTTGGGGTGTTCAGCACAAATCTTGATCGTTTTTTGGTAGTTTTAATTTTTGGTCAAACGTTAATTGCCTTGGCTTTTCAACTTACCCTCGCATTTTCTGCTGCCCCTGCATCATTGAGATCATCGAACGATGGGGAGGGGTGCAACCCGTCGTGCTAGAACGCAGCAGTTGCTGCATGTTGAGTTGCAAAATATGCTTTGCCTGCCTTCCTGGAAAGCCGCGATTGCGCTGGCAACCCGTCGGCCCAAAACGCAGCATCACCTGCATCATTGAGATATGCTTTGCTTGCCTTCACCCCGGGAAAGCGGTAGCATCATCGATTGATAGGGGGGCAGTTCCCGAATTTTGGGCTGCATCACCTGCATCATTGAGATATGCTTTGCTTGCCTTCACCTTGGGAAAGCCGGTAGCAATTGCATCATCGATTGATAGGGGGGGTAGTTCCCCAAATTTTGAGCTGCATCACCTGCATCATTGAGATATGCCTTGCTTGCCTTCACCTTGGGAAAGCTGGTAGCAATTCCATCATCGATTGATAGGGGGCAGTTGAATTTTGAGCTGCATCACCTGCATCATTGAGATATGCCTTGCTTGCCTTCACCCCGGGAAAGCGGAAGCAAATTGCATCACCGATTGATAGGGGGCAAACCCGAATTTTGAGCCGCATCACCTGCATCATTGAGATATGCTTTGCTTGCCTTCACCCCGGAAAAGCGGTAGCAAATTGCATCACCGATTGATAGGGGCAGTTCCCGAATTTTGAGCTGCATCACCTGCATATGCTTTGCTTGCCTTCACCCTGCGAAAGCCGGTAGCAATTGCATTATCGATTGATAGGCGGGGCAGTTCCCGAATTTTGAGCTGCATCACCTGCATCATTGAGATATGCTTTGCTTGCCTTCACCCTGCGAAAGCCGGTAGCAAATTGCATCATCGATTGATAGGGGGGCAGTTCCCGAATTTTGGGCTGCATCACCTGCATCATTGAGATATGCTTGCCTTCATCTTGGAAAAGCCGGTAGCAATGGCATCATCGATTGATAGCCCAGAATTTCGAGCCGCATCACCTGCATCATTGAGATATGCCTTGCTTGCCTTCACTCCGGAAAAGCGGCAATTGCATCATCGATTGATAGGGGGGCAGCTCCCGAATTTTCAGCTGCATCCCCTGCATCATTGAGATATGCTTTGCTTGCCTTCACCCTGGGAAAGCCGGTAGCAATTGCATCATCGATTGACACAGGGCAGTTTCCGAATTTTGAGCTGCATCACCTGCATCATTGAGATATGCCTTGCTTGCCTTCACCCTGGGAAACCCGAAATTTGAGCTGCATCACCTGCATCATTGAGATTTGCCTTGCTTGCCTTCACCCTGGAAATGCCGGTAGCAATTGCAATAGGGGGGCAGTTCCGAATTTTGAGCTGCATCACCTGCATCATTGAGATATGGGGAGTTCCCGAATTTTGAGCTGCATCACCTGCATCATTGAGATATGCCTTGATAAGGGGGGCAGTTACCGAATTTTGACCTTGCTTGCCTTCACCTTGGGAAAGCCGGTAGCAATTGCATTATCGATTGATAAGGGCAGTTCCCGAATTTTGAGCTGCATCACCTGCATCATTGAGATATGCTTTGCTTGCCTTCACCTTGGAAAAGCCGGTAGCAATGGCATCATCGATTGATAGGCCAGAATTTTGAGCCGCATCACCTGCATCATTGAGATTTGCTTTGCTTGCCTTCACCCTGGAAAAGCCGGTAGCAATTGCACCATCGATTGATAGGGGGGCAGTTCGCGAATTTTTGAGCTGCATCACCTGCATCATTGAGATATGCTTTGCTTGCCTTCACCCTGGGAAAGCCGGTAGCAATTGCATCATCGATTGATGGGGGGCGCTGGCCACCAATGCTGCCGAAACAGATGATGATAGTTCCCGCATTTGGAGCTCCTGCAAAAACGGGAAGCCAAAACGGTGCTGAGTGGATTCTTCAGGAACCTGGCGCACTTCTGCTGTCGGCCTGGCAGCTTCTCCGCAGAAGTGTGCTGGGGTGGCGAAAGCCGCGGAAAAGGCTTGGTCCAGGACGCAGGGATGGGGTCCGTGCCAAGTGGCTGACCTGTTCAAGCTTTTGCAAAGGAACGAGGCTGCAGGTTAGAAGACCAGAAGGAAACCGACCGCTTTGGGTTCCATTCAGTTGGCGAACTTTGAGCTCGTTTATTGATAGAGAACTTTGAGCTTATTTACTGGTAGAGCTGTTTTGGGGAATTTTTGCAAAGGTCCCAAAAGCGAAACTTGCACGAGGAAGGATATTTGACCTCAAATGGCAGAAGGACCCAGTGAAAGCCCCCCAAACAAGGGCACTTGTCACCTATGCCAGTGGACAACCCTTGGAAGGTGCTGTGACTTATCTGTTGTTTTTCCTTCAAGTGTCACGCAACAGGTAGTCAATCGTTCAGCTTGGCAAACACCTCAGGGTCATCTCAAAATTTCTTGTTGCGGTTTATGCTGGGCCCTGCCCCCGTATGATTAAGTGACAATATGTTTGGTAGTCTACTGGTCTACTGCAGGTTGGGGAGGACATGGGGGACAACATAATTTCCCACAGAAGCCAGGGGGACGATGCAATTCATCTTGGGTCAGCCACTAACTTCGTCCGGGGAGTTTATAGATCGGTCACCATTGAAGATGCCCAAAGCGAATTGTGGCGCTGTTAGTGGACGAGGCAAGGGTCGGACGATGGTTGACTCCCTAAATATGCGAGGCAAGCCTTTAGAGCAGGGTTGCTCCGGCAAATCACCATGGTTCTAGGGGTTGATTCCTTCTTCATTCTTTTCAGAGATCGTTCTTTTCGAAAAACCCTCCAACCTACGACCTACGGCTTTCCTGTATTCGGGAAGCCCGAAAACCGATTCATTCACTAGGTTCCTAGTGGTTCCCTTTTACCCTTTTTTCGGGGGGAGGGTTCCCCTACTAAAATAGACTACAGAAAAAAATCGAGTACCCTTATTCTGACCTGACTGGAGGACCTACTTATTGATTGATCTAGATTGGTCTTGTTACAAGATTTTGTTGTATCTGCAGACTTTGAGTTGGGGGGGGGTCTTGTTGTATGGCGTTCCACAGGACGCCCGTATCACTCACAGGACGAGCGAACCCGTTGGTGTGTTGGTCAAAACCATATGGCTGTGGGTCAAAACCAATAGTACCATTTTGGGGTAGGTGCACTTTAGTGGGGAAGGTACCACATTCTAGTCTACTTTAGTGGGGATTGGGATGTTCACTGGAGGTAATGGGCTTTTGACCCATGGCCATATATGCCCCCCCCCCCCCCTGTGGTTGTGGTCCTGTGGTTGGGTTGTGGTGGTTTAGGGTTGGTTTAGAATTGGTTTAGGGTATATTTAGGGTGTATTTAGGGTTAGTTTAGGGTTGGTTTAGGGTTGGTTTATGTTGATTTAGGGTTGGTTTAGGGTTGGTTTAGGGTTGGTTTAGGTTTACGGTTTAGGGTTTGGTTTAGGGTGTATTTAGGGTTTGGTTTAGGGTTAGTTTAGGGTTGGTTTAGGGTTGGCTTAGGTTTAGGGTCTATTGTTTAGGGATTGGTTTAGGGTGCATTTGGGGTTAGTTTAGGGTTGGTTTAGGGTTAGTTTACGGTTGGTTTATGTTGATGTAGGGTTAGTTTAGGTTTAGAGGTCTACTTTAGGGTTTGGTTTAGGGGGTATTTAGGGTTCGTTTAGTTTAGGGTTGGTTTATGGTTGGTTGTGGGTTGGCTTGTCCTGGGGGTGGGGGTGCCGGGGTGTCGGGGTGCGAGTTCAGGGGGTGGGGGTGGGACCGTAGGTGGCTGCGGGGTCTCGGGCCGGGGGGGCGGGGGGGGGGGGTTGGGGGACCCATACCATATGGGGGGGGGGGGGGGTAGTAACACGGAACACGGGACCATATATGTTGTTCGCAATTGAGACCATGAAGATTCAGTTCAGGGAGCGATGACATGGCCCCATGGGTCAGGTAGGTTGCAGCCTAGTCGGAATCAGCTGGGTCCGCTTGTTCTCAGGGAACCGCAGAAGCATTCATCATGTGCAAAAAACCTGCTCCCAGTGTGCAAGAAAAATATGCAATATGGAAGCCTTTTCTGGAAAACACAGCGGGAATCCACTGCGGTGCGCCTTGAGGGGCCTTGATTCTCTCGATGCACCGAGTCCGCCCGCGCATTCAGGAGCAGGTTGACGGCATGGCCTTGAACATGTCCCTGCGCCGCCGGGCAAGCAAAGGCGAGAGGTGCGAAACACCTTGTTGGGTTGTTTTTGTTTGTTTTAAGGTGGCTGATTTCTATGATGCCGAGGGATCCCCTTGAAGCAAGAAGGCAGTGATAGTCAAAGTGGCAGGGTTGGATGACTTTCAGCCATCTTGGTATTGCACAAGGGGGTGGTTTTCCATAACCACGCGCGGAGGCGTGGTTCTTTTCAGGAATATCCAGTGGGTTGCTTCCTTTGTTCAACATGGACGGTTGGATGGTGCAAGTTCAAACAATCAGAGAATCAAGAGCCAACAAGCGTCCCCCCTCTCCCGGTCCCCCCAGTAAACCCGCAAAAAGGAATGATCAAGCCATAAGGTGCTTTTTGGTCCCTCTCCTTCTTTCGTACTCCCACTTTGGCGTTGCCACTTCCTTAATCAGCTTTGCCGAAAACAAGATTGCCCTTAAAGGAGCATATCGTTTTCTGATTACCCCAAGGAAGACGACGTAAAATCCCAGGACTTGTTGATTTCAACAAAGGGGAACTCTGCGTTTACGTCCTGCGGTGATCAACACGTCAAATGAAGCCACCTGTCCCGGCCCGGGCTGAGGTTATGTCGAGTGCTGCTTTCCGCGGCTGCAAGCTGCTCTTAAAACCGAGCCCCCCAAGTGGATGCAGGCCGGGGGCCAGATTCCAGTGGATGTGGTTGCAAGGGGTTTTCAGTTGCCCAGTGGCGCCCTCTTTTCTTTTTTGTTGGAAAGGTTCCCCTTTAAACTCAACCAACCAAAACAGGATGCACCTTTTATTCCCATGGCCACTGGGCATCTGAGGGTCAGGGATTCCAGACGGAATCCCATAGCGTGGAAAGGTATACTGGGAAGCCCCAAGCGTGCGACCAGAACAAGTGGATGGACTGGTGGACGCCTCTTTCGGGTGGTTCCTTCATTTCGCGAACGTGACCGTGTGTGTGGTTTCCTATTCAGACACGCACACTTGCTTTCAACCAAAGGGAAGGGGGGGGGGGGGAGGGTCAAAAGGCTGCATGCATTGACTCAACCCCAATTAACAAGTGACATACTTTGTGCAGCATGTTTTCCAGACCAAACCCCCGAGTTTGCTACAAATGATGTGGCTGTATCTGTTACAAGAGTCCATGTGATGTGTCTGTTTTCGGGGCTGGCAGATATGAGGTTAAGTAAGGATCATGCCAATCCTTTCTGCCACAAAGAACTTGTAAGGTTTCCCTGTAAAGAAAACCACGCGAGTGTTGTGTTCATTCAACAAAATGTGAACAGTTCGTGTGAGGCATACAAGAGCCTGTTTGTTCAGGATGTTCCCCACTCACACCTCGTGCAAGGCGGCTTTGTCATCCTTGTTACATTGTTGCTTGAGCGTCTTCAATGAGAATATTGCAAGCGGAGATTGGTTCACCTTTGTCAGATTTCCTGAAAGGGCCTCGGCCGGGAAGTCATTTGGTAGTTAAAGTTTAGGGACACTCCCATGCCGTCGCCTGCGTGATTCTTCAGATGTTTCGGTGAAGACTCTTTTAACACCAGGTCAGGTTTTGATTGTGCCGCAGCCCAACTTTATCCCATTACTTGGAAGCATTGTTGGGCCAATTACGTGTGTTTTTGTCTAGGTTAGTTAGCATATGCTTGGATAATGGCGATTCAGAAAGGGCCCCAAAGTTTGGACAAGCCTCCAAGACTACGATGTTGTGGAGGACCCCCACGATTAATCTGGAGCCCCTTCAGTCCTGGTCCCTTTACTGCTGTCCGCTTCCCAATTGAACTGGAAGCAGTGCACCTGGAGAGAACGTCTCCGGTTGCCCTGGCCCCTTCTGGGCAATAGGACTGTTAATGGCAACGGCTGTTTTCCCATTTGAGCCCACTGGGCTCACAGCTAGGTCCCCCAGTAGTGCCCTTTTACCTTGTGTTTTTTTGGGGGGAGGCTTCCCCTACTAAAACAGACAGAAAAAGTTGGTACCAACTTATTCCAACCTCTCTACCGGAGGAAGACAGATCACATCACGCGAGTCTGAGGGCTGGCCTTCAAGGGGGGTCTTTGTGACTCTTGGAACGAGGCGGGGGGTGAAACAGAAGCGCCCACAGGAGCGAGCCAATGCCATTGAATCCAAAGCCATTCCCCTCTGTCCAAGAAATTCGTCCCTAGGTGATGTACAGAAGGGAAGAGAACCAGCCGGCATCTCTTTCTCGCACTCTCACCTCACCAAGACAACAGAGGGAGGGGCGAGGAAGCCTTCATCGCCAGGCGCAGATCTCCCAGGACCTTCAGCACTGGGCTCCGCTGAACACTTCGGACCTGGACGCGTTTGAAAGGTGGACCCAGGACCGGAGCTTTGTCCAACCCAGGGTAAAGTTTGAAATGAGTCAGGAAAGCACGCCCGGTGTGTGCGCGATTGTGTGCGCGATTGTGTGCGCGATTGTGTGCGCGATTGTGTGCGCGATTGTGTGCGCGATTGTGTGCGCGATTGTGTGCACGAGTGTGTGTGTGTGTGTGTGTGTGTGTGTGTGTGTGTGTGTGTGTGTGTGTGTGTGTGTGTGTGTGTGTGTGTGTGTGTGTGTGTGTGTGTGTGTGTGTGTGTGTGTGTGTGTGTGTGTGTGTGTGTGTGTGTGTGTGTGTGTGTGTGTGTGTGTGTGTGTGTGTGTGTGTGTGTGTGTGTGTGTGTGTGTGTGTGTGTGTGTGTGTGTGTGTGTGTGTGTGTGTGTGTGTGTGTGTGTGTGTGTGTGTGTGTGTGTGTGTGTGTCAATGTAAGGAACGATCCCAAGTCGTGTTGGCCAAAATATTTCACTGATCAAGTTTCAAGACCTGAAAGCCCAACATTTGTGTTCTGGAAAAACATGAAGGACCTGGCATAAAGGGTTGCTGTTGCTGTTGGGGAAACATACCAGGGTGGGGGAAACATAGCAGTGTGATTGGAATGGAATCTAACAGTTTGTTTACCAGCACCCACGAACCACTGCCTTTTGGACAGTACTTGGGATTTCGGACATGGCACGAAGCAGTTGCAGGGTGAATCAGCAACAACACTCTTTGAATGTGTAGTACGATCACCATGTGTTGATGAACTTTGGTTTGCATCATCTTTCCAAGGGTGGGGGCAACATGCTGTGGATGGACGAACTCCTGCGTCACCCAAGAAACCATGGTTGAAACCATGTTTTTGTTGGTATTTACGTTGGGAAATCAAATCATTCAAGGGTTTCTTAGATGGTGCGACATGGATTTCGCAACCATCCACAGTAGCAGGTTTGTGTGTGTGTGTGTGTGCGCGTTGTCTTTTTGGTTTGTTTGTTGTTGTTTTTGTTTTTGAACAAGAGTGGGGGAAGCGTAGCAGGGCCGCTGGTTGCCACTGGGACAGCCAAGTACCCCACATCTGCTGCAGGAAGCGGGGTACTCCACGCGCTTCTGCCGGTTCCAAGTGACCCGGTCTGGCGTGCAGCACTGCCAGGTGACGCCCCTTGGGTTGAAAGAGATCGGAATGTTTTTGGTGTTTTTTGTTTTGTTTTTGTTTTAGGTTGTGTTGTTTGTTTTTTAGTTGTGTGTTATTATTATTATTATTATTATTATTATTATTATTATTATTATTATTATTATTATTATTATTATTATTATTATTATTATTATTATCATTATCATTATCATCATCATTATCATCATCATCATCATTATTATTATTATTATTATGATTATTATTATTATTATTTGTGTGTGTGGTTTTCTTTTTGCGGAGCTGGGTACCTGATTCTGCAGCGCCAACCTTGCTGCTACATCAGCCTTTACACCATGCCTTGACCAACCGCCCTTCGTCTTTCTTTGGTGGCATTGTGTTTTGAGCCCTCATTGCCCCTTTCAGCAGCTTGCCTGTCCGGCAGGTTGGAAAGTGCGGCAGTCCTTTTGATTCATTGGGAACTCCGTTGCTGAACCCCACGTTGACTTTGGCTTCTGACAACATGGCTACAAGGGCGTTTTTTTTTAGTCTGACATGGTTTGGCTAGACAGTCCATGACGCCAGGTAGCAACATCGCCTGCTTAAACAACCACTTTGTGTGGTTTTGGGCTCTACTTAGTTGCCTAGGACCCCCGGACATAGTTGGAGGTGCACATCCGACACTTTTTGGCTTGCACTTCCATGTTTGGTGGGATGAAAATGGAAACTCAGGATTAAGAAATATCTGTCCGAATCTTACATTTGGGCACATCCCCCCCATGAATCCGCCAGGGTCTACTTGGGGTCGACTACACCCATCAACGTTGCTCCCATCCAATGTGTGTCTTAAGCCTGGCGTGGGCTACGCCCCAAAAGGGTGGGCACAAATCTAAAACAGGAGGGTTGGGCCACCTTGTTGCAATGAAAGGTGATTGAGGCAGTCTTAGAGCAGGCCGTTTGCAAGAAGGAAGAGACATGAGTCACGGTCAAAATATGCGTAGATCACTTTACCCCGACCAAAAACGAGAACTACGTAAAAACCTCCTTGACGAAGACAAGTGAGGTTGATGGTAGCTCACATGGACATTCATGCCTTTTTCGGGGGGCGCGCAAGAAGGAAATGCACACAATTGCCGGTAAGCCTCGTGAGGCGCGGGAGAAATGGCGTGCCCTGATGAACACTCAATCCTGCATCAGGAGGGCGCACAATGTTTAGGGGAGATTCAGCAGGGGCCAACATGGTGCCTTACTTGGGCAGGGGGGTTGCATGATGTCCAGTTGGAAAATGAATGATTATGGTCCACCAGATAAAGAAAGAAGCCCCGCTTGATTAAGCAGGGATCCTTCATTTGTTGCAATTCAGAGAAACGTAAGACAACATCCAAACAATTGACCCTTTGGTGGACATTTGATCACGTGGGGATTTATATCGTTGGATATTTTGCTGGTGCTCAGTTGGGATGTGGGAATAAACCCAGGCATTGGTCCCCCCAAAAAATCCCACCTGTGGGATGGTTTATCTTCGCGTCATCATTCCCTACCTCTCTCGCACCGATCGCATGGGCGGAGGAAGGGCAGCCATGTGCTGCTCATCGAGACCTTGCGAGATGCTTTGCATGTGCTGCGCGCCTGCGGCTGAAATTCCACCGAAAGGTCTGGCAACCGGTGGGTGGAATTGCTGGGGATCCGGTATTTTTTAACTAGCCCCGGATTGGTTGAATTCAAGTCATAGTTATATCCATCTAAAGCCCAAAGCGCATGTGCCATGGGCAATGAATCCTTTGCAATGGCTCTCTAAATTCCCGAATAAGGAGTTGATAGTGAAAGTGGCACCCTCGGTTGGTTGGTTGGTTGGGACAAGACCCGGCGCATAGACTACATAGATATATATATATATATATATGTATGTATGTATGTATGTTATGCTATGTAATGTAATGTAATGTTATGTTATGTTATGTTATGTAATGTTATGTAATGTAATGTTATGTTATGTAATGTAATGTAATGTACTGTAATGTAATGTAATGTAATGTAATGTAGGTATGTACGTATGTAATGTAATGTAATGTAATGTAATGTAATGTAATGTAATGTAATGTAATGTAATGTAATGTAATGTAATGTAATGTAATGTAATGTAATGTAATGTAATGTAATGTAATGTAATGTAATGTAATGTAATGTAATGTAATGTAATGTAATGTAATGTAATGTAATGTAATGTAATGTAATGTAATGTAATGTAATGTATGTATGTATGTATGTATGTATGTATGTATGTATGTATGTAATGTATGTATGTATGTATGTATGTATGTATGTATGTATGTATGTGTATGTATGTATGTATGTATGTATGTATGTATGTATGTATGTATGTATGTATGTATGTATGTATGTATGTATGTATGTATGTATGTATGTATGTATGTATGTATGTATGTATGTATGTATGTATGTAATGTAATGTAATGTAATGTAATGTAATGTAATGTAATGTAATGTAATGTGTATGTATGTATGTATGTAATGTAATGTAATGTAATGTAATGTAATGTATGTAATGTAATGTAATGTATGTAATGTAATGTAATGTAATGTAATGTAATGTAATGTAATGTAATGTAATGTAATGTAATGTAATGTAATGTAATGTAATGTATGTATGTATGTATGTATGTATGTATGTATGTATGTATGTATGTATGTATGTATGTATGTATGTATGTATGTATGTATGTATGTATGTATGTATGTATGTATGTATGTATGTATGTATGTATGTATGTATGTATGTATGTATGTATGTATGTATGTATGTATGTATGTATGTATGTATGTATGTATGTATGTATGTATGTATGTATGTATGTATGTATGTATGTATGTATGTATGTATGTATGTATGTATGTATGTATGTATGTATGTATGTATGTATGTATGTATGTATGTATGTATGTATGTATGTATGTATGTATGTATGTATGTATGTATGTATGTATGTATGTATGTATGTATGTATGTATGTATGTATGTATGTATGTATGTATGTATGTATGTATGTATGTATGTATGTATGTATGTATGTATGTATGTATGTATGTATGTATGTATGTATGTATGTATGTATGTATGTATGTATGTATGTATGTATGTATGTATGTATGTAATGTATGTATGTATGTATGTATGTATGTATGTATGTATGTATGTATGTAATGTATGTATGTATGTATGTATGTATGTATGTATGTATGTATGTATGTATGTATGTATGTATGTATGTGTATGTATGTATGTATGTATGTATGTATGTATGTATGTATGTATGTATGTATGTATGTATGTATGTATGTATGTATGTATGTATGTATGTATGTATGTATGTATGTATGTATGTATGTATGTATGTATGTATGTATGTATGTATGTATGTATGTATGTATGTATGTATGTATGTATGTATGTATGTATGTATGTATGTATGTATGTATGTATGTATGTATGTATGTATGTATGTATGTATGTATGTATGTATGTATGTATGTATGTATGTATGTATGTATGTATGTATGTATGTATGTATGTATGTATGTATGTATGTATGTATGTATGTATGTATGTATGTATGTATGTATGTATGTATGTATGTATGTATGTATGTATGTATGTATGTATGTATGTATGTATGTATGTATGTATGTATGTATGTATGTATGTATGTATGTATGTATGTATGTATGTATGTATGTATGTATGTATGTATGTATGTATGTATGTATGTATGTATGTATGTATGTATGTATGTATGTGTATGTATGTATGTATGTATGTATGTATGTATGTATGTATGTATGTATGTATGTATGTATGTATGTATGTATGTATGTATGTATGTATGTATGTATGTAGAGAAGTTTGGCCCATGGTCAAGGGGCAGTGCGGAAGGGCACTCAAAGGCATCCAGCTTCATCTTCTGCAAACGTGCGCAAACAATGACCTGCTTGTTTGATTTCTGCTGAAGGTTTTGAAAACTCGGGGGTTGAGCTAGGACGATCTTGGTATTTTTCACATTGTTCTTCTATCCGAAACCGTTGCCCGTTTCCTCATGCAGCCATAGACAACCCACGATGCCCAGGATTGCTTACTCCACTGCCGGATCTGGACTTCTTTGTCAGCCAGGACACAGTGAAAGAGAACATAAACATACATATTATAAACATACATATTATATTTATACACATGTATATACATATATGTGCATACACGGAGGTGTCCGACCTGGACCCTTTTTGGACGGGGTTCATAGGGAAGTCAAACAGCAACCTCGACCTGCCAGGGTCCCCACATTCTAGAGCACCGAAAGTTAGTCGCAAAGGCCCCCTTGCCTAAATGGCTGTGGGTCAAAACCAGTGGTACCATAGGTGCACCACCCATTTTAGTCTATTTTAGTGGGGATTGGGATGTTCACTGAGGTACGGGATTTTGACCCATGGCCAAATGTCTCTTTGCCAGTTGCTTCCTGTTTGGCCATCCAATCATGATCACGTGACCATAGGTAAAGCAGCTGCGTTTTCTTCAATCCAATCCTGAAGAGATCACTCTACAAAACAGATAATTTATTCCGGGCCGGCCCAAACAAGAAGGGAATGCCTGAGAAATTCGAGCAACGCGACTCCCACGTTTAGCCTTTGCATGTTGTAGCCTTTTGTTTTGCGTGCATCTCACTCGGGACTCTGGATCACTGATGTTCAAAGTGGGTTCCGTGTCAATGCGGTTTTCTATTTTTTGGTGGGTTCCCTTCTTGGATGACTTGAACTGGGACTTCGAACAGACGCCACCCATGGGGTCCATTTCCCAGCTCACCGGGATCTTCCGTGGGAGTGAGGAATTCAGGGAGCGTCAACTCAGAGGTTCAGGTCACTTGGAGCATTGCAGATTCGCTCGGAGGCATCCCGTTGTCTCTTTCTGCTTGGTCAGGGCTCCTTAAAAGATCTCCATTTTGCAACCATTTGAAACATGTTGCTTTTTCAACACCAAAATAAAGGGAAACCACCATTTACAAGGCAATGTTCAGGTGTAGAATGTAAGGATCCCTTGCTGGGTGGGCTCCCCCAAACATGGCCGATGCCTGCTGGAAATCTTGCCGATGGCCGGGGGTCAGATTCCTCTGGATCTAGGAAACTCCTTTGAACACAGGGGGTTGCAGTTAAACAACAGCCGTATTGAGCCAGGTGTCTTTTACATCGCCCGTTTCGGGTTGGTTCAATTTTTAGACCAAAGTGAAACCACCCAGTTTGAGGATTCTTCTTAAACCAAGCCGTGCCAGAATCATAGGGTACCGGGTGTGCCGGTTTGGTGTGGTTGAAAATATTTGAAAATAAGGAGTTCAGAGGCAAACCACGCCGCCACCCATGTTGTTGGAGTCGTTGCAACAGGACTTGAAAGGGAAACTGCCTATACATGGTTGCGTGGTACTGTGGATGGACGAACTTCTGGACCAGTTGAGTTGGATGCAGGCTAAACCACCCATCAACTGGTGCAGAAGTTGTCCATCCACAGTAGGTTGACTTCGGTCTCGCCACAGTAAATCGGGGTCTCACTAAGTTCCACGAGGCTCATCCGTGTTCGTTGGAAACCCACCTTTGGGGTCCATATTCAAATTCTGGCATGGGGGGGAAGAAGTATATGGCCTTTTTGGGACCATGGCGCCATCTTGTATAGGGTTTTGGCCCAACCAGGCCCCCCAATCTGACCCTCCGCATACCTGGGTGTGGCTCAAATAAACGTACCAAAATGGCACATTGGTAAATGGAACCAAAGACTAGAGGCTGTGTCACCCTAGCTCTTTAATTTTGAGGCACACCAACCTACCCATGGCCTTGGCAGGATGAGGCCATGTGCGTGGAGAACGCCGGGCACTTGGAGCAGGCCCTGCAACCGCTGAACCTCACGGTGCCGGTTCTGGCGCAGGACGCACGGCAGCATGGCAGAACTGGCGCTCGAGCGCGCGCGCGCTGCGCGCTGCACGTCCGCAGTACAACCACTTGCCACAAAAAGGGTCCGGCCCAAATGGGTGCTTACATGCAGGATATAAAGTGCCGTACACGTTCTCCCAAATGGTTGGACATGAACCCTTGATAGTCATATTGAGTCACTAGTCACTCAGAAAGCTTCGGCTTTCTCGGTTCACTCTGTGAACATCAACCTCGAGACAGCAAGCTTTCAGGAAGTTGCAGCATGAACCAGATGCCCCATTGCCGGCTCCCATTTTTGGGTGGGTTGTTCTTGACGAGCCAAGCATCACACCAGATTGATTTTTCTTCACGCGAGCAAGTTGTTTTTCACCTGTCCAAAACCGACCTGCAAGTTGTTCGCAAGAGTATTCCACACATCCCAAATCCTCTCTTGTTCTGGCGGCATGCCCTTCGCGATGGAAATACATATTTAATGGGTTCATGAAAGGCGTTTGCTTCTTAATGGTCTCTCGCCAGAGCTTCCCTTTTTGCCTTTTCGGATTTTCTGAAAGTGCAACTTTCCTGAGCTACTAGCTGGGACTGTCGGTGGTTCAGAGCTTTGAGCTCACCCTTTGCGCATGGGGACAAATGAATCTGATAATTACCCGCTATGTGTTTGACATGGTAGCAGATCTCTGACCATCGCAGCAAAATGTCGCCACCTGCGGAAGTGAGTGGACCACTGTATGATGTGATGGTGGAAGCAGCGGCAGCGGCAGGAGCAGGAGAGCAAGAGCAGGAGCGCCCACAAAAGCACGAACACATCATCACCATGATCATCCTTGTCATCAACAACCTTTCCCAACATCAAAACACGGAGAAAAGAAACCCACACACCTAAGAAACCTCCCCCAAGAACTCGCCCAACGATCCCAGCGGTAACTCGGAGTGTCAAGGCCCAACCCGCGAGCTGCGCCGGGATCCTCATGCCCTGGTGGGCCTTCCTTCAGCAAGACTGGACGCGGCGCTACACGGACCGCCGCGCAAGCGCAAGCGCGCGACGAGCGCCGCTTCTTGACCAGCCCGTCCTATGAATGAGGTGGTCCCCTCAAAAGGGAGGAAGCCCCAGAAAAAGGGTGGACACCCTCTATTCCTCTATTGATCAGCCAGGGGGGGATTATTCCGGGGTTCCCAGTATGAATTGGATTTCTAAATATGAAACACACTCAAGAGTGGATGGTGCACATTAATTCCCACCAAATCAATGTCCACCAAAGTGTCCCCAACTAATAATCATACCCATGTCAAGCCCATGTTTGCCCAGAGGTGTGTACGAACGGTATGGGCTCCGGATTAGCCCAAGGATGACATGAGGCTACTTTGCTTGAGCCAAAGTCTCGTTGCTCGACCAAAGTGATGGTCGACACAGGACCAACCTGGCGGTCAGAGCAGAGCTAGGGGCAGCATTGCTCGGGACCCTGTCTTCAAACTCGAGGCCGCCCTTAAGTGGACCTCGGGACTCCCAACTGCGCGAAAACCTCGGGAAAGAACACCCCTGAGGTTCACCGGCCCCAAAAGTTCTCCGGGCAAAGCGAATGGAGTCCTTACCGCCGGAAAGCCAACGAAAAGACTCAAAGGGCAGGTTGAATCCAGATGCCTGAGCTGTGGAGGCATGAAATCCTCATTCTCTTCCCAAACGAACGAGGCATACAAGTGAACAAACGACGACCGCATTTGGAATGGCCCCTGTTTGACATGGGAAATCGGATGCTCTTTGAAATGCGATTTATCTTTCAATTCAGTGAATGCCCAGAAGCCAAGGTCCATTGACAAGGGTCCGGGGAAGCATATCAGGATAATGATACTACCATATGTCCCTATGTTTTTTGACCTGTGAGTTATTGCTTTGTTGAACGGGATGGGCCATGTGTTTTGACTGTTCCAGACTCCCTACTTGGCACTTCCAGGGGACAGGAGTGTTTTGCCGCACGACCAAAGGGTGTCCCACCAAAAACCAGCTTCGCCCAAGTGGCGAACCAGACTTCTTGCAGGACAAGCTGGCCAGAAGCCGCGTGCCGTGGGAGAAGAAGGCGGGAGAGCGCTTAAGAGCTGAATGGAAGAGGTTGTGGCATACATTTCACTCGCTTGTTCCTAACTTTCGAGCTGTACCCTCCCCGGGTGGAGAGAATGGCGAATCAATTCTTATGGACTTGGGAAGGGTTGAGCCCTTGGCTCTTGCAGAAGCCAAACCAGCAATTAGAAGGAAGATGATTTAACTCGCCAGAGCGAATGAGCAGAGCTGGGCATTTTGCCACACACCAAGCAGAGCCGATCGTTTGGGTTCTCTTGGCAGCCAGAAAATCTCCACCCTTCAAATGGAACTCAGGTGGATGAAGGGAGAGGGGAACTCTCCTCGACGAAGTAGGTGTGCTCAGAAGCTCCTTTGATCATGTACTTGGTTTTGTTGCCCTTTCGTGCCAGACCAGGGAGGCCCCCTTTGCCACAAAGGCAGGCATTTGTTGGCTCATCATCTGATTCAGAGCCACAGGGGGAGCCATTGCAGTCAAGGGCCATGGGCCATGAACTTCCCCTTGCGAGTCTCTCAACTCCAGGCGTCGAAGTTGTTCTGGCGCGGATCGGACACCCACTGTTTGCTGCCCGGCAGCTGCGGCGAGGCAGGAAACCAACGGTAAATCCACCCTGCAGGGCCTAAACATGTCTGTTGTTGGGAAACATTTTACATGTTTGCTTGTTGTGGTTTAGTGGTTGAAATCCAATCCACTTAACTGCTAAAATGCAAAAATGTTTGCTCAGTTTGCTCCTCTTCCAACGTCAGCCGAGTGAATTGATACACGTCAGCCAGGCTCTAAAAAGACATCTGAACCAGCTAGTTGAGACTTGTGAAGGGTGGGTTTGGGAGATTTGGGATGTATCCCTTCAAGCCCGTGTTGTTTTCCTTTGTGTGAGTGGTTTCAAAGGGAAACCACGGAAAAACCAACCAACAGATGGTGTTTTCAGTCGTCATTTTAGCCTAGGGCCGAAAGCTTGAATAGCTTGTTCCAGCCAGTCAATTTAGAAGGAAGGATGCACAGGGACCCTGCATTCTCAGGAAGTTTGAGAACCCGGAGCAGCCTAAGAGTTTATCAAGCTGATTGCCAGGATCCACAAATCACATGGTGAATACAAACTACAAACTCATCTATTAATCACCTATGTTCTTGACACCGTTGTCCAGCATCACGACAAACAAGGAGCGTACTTGTTTGTTCGCCCCCCTCCGCCAAGTTGAACATTGCAGACATCCCATTTCGGTGTTGTGTCTTGCCCCGCTGGCAGCCCAGACTGCACCACCCTCGCCCGAACTGTTGTCTTGGAGTCGTGTTCTTGTTCTGGTCCAAGGGAGTGGAAACCCGCCACCCCCTTTTTCAGATTCCTGTCAAAGTGTTCCCCTAGCTTTGAATCAAAGCTCCCCATACTGCTCCTTTGGGATGCTGTCAGTTTTACCTGGGGCCAACCATGCTTTATTGGCTCAAGAAAAAGTGCTCCACTAGCCTTGCTGTTTTTAAGTGCTTTGGAACTATCAATAGGTGCAAACAAACCAGACCTGCGTTGTTCGCTAGGGCGGTCTCGCTTGCAGCTGCGCCAACTTCTCTGCGCAGCAGTGGATGCAGTTCCCCCGCTCGCGGCTGGCGCCTGGGCCAGGGAGTTAATGACCAATGACTCAGACCTTGAAAGCGGGGCATTCCGCTCTATGTTGCTCTTGTGTTTAATATTGTTTATTTATATGTATATGTACACAACTATATATATGTACACAGTATATATATATATATACAGTATATACATATTTGTTAGGGGCAAACCCCTTTAAGATCAACTACTAGAGGTTGGGGGATTAGCATGAATTTTAAGAGGGAGCCACTTTAAAAGCGATCGGGCATGAATCCCGCCTACATGATGTCTATCAAAGAGTCCCTTTAGTTCAAACATCCATTTGCCAATTTCTACGGCGGGGCAACTCGGCCCGTGCCCACGTTTGGCCCGCGTGCTTCGGGTGGTCAAACTCGTTCCAACTCGTTGGACCTTTCTGAAGGGCGGGTCATCTTTGAACAAAATCAGGGTGGATGAAGAGTAGTAAGAGGCGTCACCTGGCCAGAGAAGCTGTGTATCCAGGGATTTTATTATCACTTGGAAAGAAGGAACATTGGCCCCCCTTGTTGTTAAACCAACAATAAAGTGGTCACCCAAGTTCTTGGTAAAACGCGAACAATCCTTGACCTTGATGACCTATAAGAAGAGCGGCGGCAAAGGAGGCAATATCGAACACAACGACAGACAATGGCGGATACCTCCAGTAGCTCAAGCCCATTGGAAGAAACAATTCCAACAGTGATAGATTCCCGTTAAAACCAACAAGGGAAAATGACAAAACTATTCTTAAGCAAATCATTTGTTGAATCCCCACTTTTTCTTTCGGAATTGCGAGAGGGTCGGAGTTTGATCTCGATCTGTGGTCCAATGTTCGCTTTTGTGAGTAAGACCCAACCGAATGGACTTGATCTCGTCGGCTCACAGCTCCTCGTTTGGCTTACCGCCGAGTCCTGAGTTTGTTGTCTTAGACTTCTTGTGCAACTGTAGGGCCCGAATCCCACGTGTAGCCTTGGGACAAAGGGACGTCCCAAAAAAACATATGGTCCCTTTGTTCACTGGGGCCCCTGAATTTTCTCCAACGGAGAAACGCCCAACCCAACGGAGAGATTGTGAATGAGCTCACCCATGTGGGGGGGTGAATGAGCTTACGCGAGGGAGGCCTCACATCCATGGATTCTAGCGAGGGAGGCCCGGACCCAACACCATTTGGTGCCACGCTTTTGGGGAAATGATCCATCTTGGCAATTCACGTGGTCAGGATTGTGAGGTTGAGATTGGAGAGACATCTGAGATCTTGTATGGGTGGTGCTATTCCTTTCGGTTTTGCAGCGTTATGCTTTCTAAGCCTTTCCTTTGCAGCTGAAGAATCGAGCCAGGTCCTCTACTCCATGCTGATGCCTGACAAGGTGGACGCGAAGTTCACCAAGGCAGTTGCCAGGGCTTACTTCTGGGGGTACCTTCCCCATTCTTTCCAGGGATCCTTCTTTCTAGAAAGCCTCCAGAAACCCAGTGAAAATTGATGGGTGTTGAAAAGAAGGATGGTTACAAAGAATGGGGAATCAACCCTAGATTACGTGTCCTTACCTGGAGAGGGGACGTGTGTTTCACCTTGAGAGTCACAGTGGCAGTGATACATTCCATTTATGGTTCCAATTTCCCGTGTCTGGGGCAGACTAGATGGATTTAATTCATCTGGCTTTTCGCTATGTGCGGGGCTCCCTATATGGGTCTGTCTCTTTTTGAGACCCTTTCTTGGGTGGGTTCAAAAGGGAACAAAAGGAACATAATCAAACTTGGATGGTGGCCTATTTTGAGACAAACCCATATAGGCAACCCCGCACTTAACGAAAAGCCGGATGAATCAAATCCATCTAGTCTGCCACTAGGTCCCCCAGTAGTGAGTGCCCTTTCACCCTTTTTTTGGAAAGGTTCCCCTACTAAAATAGACTACGGAAAAAAGTTGGTACCCTTATTCTAACCCCTCTACTGGAGGACCTAGACTCTATATTTCTCCTTACATGGCCCTACCGCAACTCTTTGTTTGCCACCAGGGAAAGTCTAGGGAACCCCAGAAGCACAGCTTGAATTGGCCAGGAGTGTTTTGTTCGTTGATTTGCGTCACACAAAAAGTTTGGAAGTTTGGACCTGGTTTGTGGGTACCGTGCTTCTGCTCAAATGTCCAAGCAAAAGTTGGGTCTTTCAACCCGTCCCTGGTTTCGGCCCATTTTTTTCTGGTGAATTCCCGGGTGATACGGCCGGCGACAATTTCCTTAGACTAAAATGAATTCCAAGACACAAAACCCCACACATTCACAGCCCTTGTTCCTTTCCCCACAGACGCCGTTCACGGGTCCCATCAAAGGACGTGGTGAACCGAGAGCTGCTGGAGGTCTTTCGAGGCCACCAGCTGCTGGTGCAGGAGATCGTCCCCCCGGAGGTGCCCTGGTTCACGCGAGTGGGTCAAGCTGGTTGGCCATGGGTCAGAAGCCAAATCGTACCCCCAGTGACCATCCCAATCCAACCACTGTAGACTAAAATGTGTGAATTCACCTACCAACCAAAATGGGATACCATTGGTTTTGACCCACAGCCAGTTAAAGGGGGGGTAGACAGAAGGCCCTTTTTGGGATTTGAAAAGCGCGCCCAAACCCAGGGACACCGAAAGAAAGACCTTCTTTTGGCTTGGGGAAATTTTGGGAAACGATTGAAAGATCGCAGCAAGACCCAGGGAAACCATTAGGAAACCCTCGGGAAACCCTTAGGCAAACCCTTAGGCAAACCCAAAAGATGCGCGGGGGACACGCCGGGATTTTTTTTCAGAGTTGGACATTTCTCAAAAGTGGTTGGTGGGCTGTGAGAATCCCCAAATGTCCACCAAACGGGTCTAATTATGAAACATCAATGTGGGTGTACCGGTTTCTAGGGCCCCTTTTCGGAGGCCTTCAAATGGAAGGCTAAGAGGAACACCCCATTTTAAAGGGTCCAGCATTTTGAGAAATCCTAACTTCATTTGCATTCTGTTAGAAAACTAGGGGAAGTGAAGCATGTTGGGAGGTTCTTAACTTTGAGAGAAATGTGTCAAAGCTCGGCTCCTGTTGGGTTTGTGGAGGGAGCCAGCCTATTTGGACGAAGTTCTGAATTTCCAGCAACACCCAGACGAGCCCTAGTTTTGTTTGTCCTTTGCATGTTTGTGCCATGTGGGGTGGACCAAAATCGGATCATGGAACCTCCGCAAGAGAGGCTTCGGGGTTGCGTTCCCTTCCTTTGCCCGAATTTAGATCAAACTGTCCAGTCTTTAGTCTATTTTGGGTTCAGGGCATGGCGGATTATTTTGATGTGCGCTACCAATTGTTTATTATTGTAAACGCTTCGCGTTGCCCGCCTCGGCCAGTCCGTTTTTGGCTGGCTTTGAGGTATGTACTGTGCTTTAGTTTGCCTTGAAGTGCTGCTATTACAGTGAGGGAGTCGGCGCCGAAATGCGTGAGCTGGTTCCAAGCTAGAGGGTGGGTGCATGTCCGCGCGTTCCACCTGGCTTCAAGGGCCAGAACGAGAGCTGCAGGGAGCTAGAGAATGGTGGGCCAAGCGCAGGTCCAAATTTCCAGGGAATTTAGCTGTTTGTTTGTTCGTTTTGAGGCGGGGGGAATTTGCTGGTTTCTGGGGGGATTTGACGGGAGTTCAACCTGTTTCGGAGGGGATTCGACAGGTTTCTAGGGAGTTTCAAGGGGATTTATTTGGTTTCTGAAGGGCAATTTGACCGGACCGGTTTTGAGGGGAACCTGGCCTGTTTCCAAGCTTTGAGAGGAAGTTGAGCGGTTTCTCCGGAGCTAGATGGGAAGTTGACCCGTTTCTGTCGGTTTCTACGGTTTTTCGGTTTTTATGGGAATTGGACAGGTTTTTTGGAGTATCAAAAAGAATCGGCTGCTTTCAGGCTTGCTTCAGGCGGACTGGAGGCAGCTGGAGCAGGGATTCTCGCCGCGCGACATGGGGGTGGTTGGGGATGGGGTTTTAGAAGATCCCGTAAAAAACGGTCTGACCAAGAACTTTTCGACGCATACCTAAGTATATATATATATACACATATATATGTATATATATATATATATACAGAGTTACATACATGCATGTATGCGCATGTGTTCGCAGCTCTTCTTCAGCAAGCGTGAGCTTAAACCCCACATGACAGAGCTGTCACGATCGTTTCCGTCAAACATCTGCAAATGAAAATTCAACCAGCCTGGACACACCCCCGCCCCATCCTTTTTTGCCAATTGAAGGTCCAAGGTGAGGTTAGTTTCCTTAGGGTGGTGATTTCAAAGGCGATGAAAGAACCTTTACACAGAGAGAAAACTTTTTTGGGGGGTGATTGTTCCCAGCATGAGTTGTGACAAATTGTCCTTCCTTTAATTCGTTTGTTTCTGGAAGAGCCATCCAGGCACACCTGGACTACAAGTTCCTCATGCGCCTCTGCAAATGCGGACTGGAGCTTTCGAGTTTGACTGGTCAGGGTGGCGTTGATATTCCCCAAACTCGGTTGGTCTTGGGAAACATTTTACATTTTTGCTTATTGTAGTTGGTTTAGTGGTTGAAATCCAAATCCACTTGGCTGCTGACATTTGAGAGTACTTGCTCCCCTTACCCAACGTCAACCAAGCAAAAGAGCTCGGATTGTTGGCTCGGGCAACCAGGATGCCATCCATCTCGAAGGCGCTTGTTTTAGTGGTTGGCTGCAAGTGACTGTGCCGGTAGACAATGCTCACGGCCCATGCACATGAGTTGTCCGAGACCAGGGCCAGCGAACAAGCCACCAGAAAGGACGGGGGGGCTCTAGGTCACCCTTTTCAGGCCCTCTATTGAAAAACGCTCTTTGATTCTCCAAAGTCCCTGACACAAACACCTCCAACGCCCATGCGCCAGCGCAACTCCACTTCTCCACTTTGTTTCTTGGGTTGAAACCAATGTCCCTGGCACAAACACCGAAAGAAAAAATCCCAAACAGCTCCGAGCGGTTTCTCGGATCGGGGTGGGAGGTACGTGGACGGCGTCAGCCTCTCGGATCGGCTCTTCTGGCTGCTGCACACGGAGTCCGTGGTCTTCAAGGCCCAGTCCCGCCTGCCCCCCGGACTCGGAGAAGCGGTTCCGGGAAGCTCCTCATATTGGGCGGTTTGACGGGAGTGGTATGGGAAAAACCGGCGGTTTTTTTTTGGGGGGGGCTGGTCGAAAACGGAAACTAGATGGGAAACCGGTGTCAATTTGTGGAAGGCAACCTCTGCCACCTAAGACTTAGAGCTTGCCAGGTTTCAACCTTAGTAAACGCGCGAGGTGTGCCTTTTCGGAGGTTCGGTACTGCTTGGTACAAGAAAACTGGCCGAGCCAACTGCCCATTTTGAGTCGGTTCCCTCCACTCGGCACTCGGGGCCGATGTCTTTGGGCCCGAGTTGCGGTGACCATCGGCGCGTTTGGGTTCTTCCGCAGTAAACGAGACCTCGGACCTCCATTAGGTCCCCCAGTAGCGCCAACTGTTACCCTTTTTTGGGAGGGTTCCGCTACTAAAGTAAAGTACAGAAAAAGGACGGTACCATCAGTTTAACCTCTCTACTGGAGGACCTAATCCATGACCATCTAGGGTGCGTTGCTTGTTGAGGCTTTCGGGGAGGACTTTGGAGCACTGACGGGCAATCAGCCATTCTCAGAGCAGGGTGTTGTGTTTTGTTGCATGCAGGGGGTTGAACCCGGACAAAGCAAACAGCACTTTCACTTCTCACTCACCTTTAAGGTGCTGTTTGATTCGTTGGGTCTTCAAGAAACCCCATGAAATTGGGGGTTGAAAGGGAGACCAAACGGAAACCGAGGCCAACGTTTGGTGGTCTTCCAAACCCTTGTCACATTCGTGCACGCCCGAGGAAGGTGTGGCTAGATAGGGCCCTGCGCCCTTGGGAGCACTATTTGCCAGTGGCGGAGGACGAAGCTTTGGGCATTGGGCGGGGGAAGTTGCGGGCGAGTTGGTTGACGAAGGCTTAGGGTAGCTTGGCCACTTGAGCCACTTGGAAGTGTCATCTACTTAGGTTGTAACCATCGGTTGGATGATAGAGGTGTCCAATCCCTCCTGCAACCAAGTAGACTGCAGGTTTGGTCACATTGACACCCAGGTGCATGCCTTTGTTTTCGGCATCCCCAAAACGGATGATTCTCTGTGTGCCCCTTGAATGCAGAACGGTGACCCTCAAAAGACCAACCATGGGTATGTGTCAACATAGAGGAACCCAAAAAGACATGGCAAGCCCGCCGTTGTCAGGACGGTAGCGGACAGTAGGGTTTCAGGCTGCCATTTTTGGTGATGCCCTAGGATCCCGACAATAAAGTAGCAAAGTAGCTGTAGCAGGCATGGGAACGTTGGTATCTCAGAAATAGGTGGTTCCTACAACCATGAATCCCAAGATTTCGATCCCCGTATTTTGGTTTGTTGATGTGGCTTCTGTAAGCACTCAAAGGTCAACTGACAAAATTATTGGCAGACTATTGTTGCGGCAGACTATGGTTGTGTATTGTTGGTTTGGCAAGGGCATGGGGGGGCACACCCACATCTTCCTGTACCAACACCGAATGTTCCCAAATCCTTCAGGCGAAAAAGTCAAGCTGTCCGTGGCTCAAACCCCCACAGCAAAAGCCACTGACTCAACGGACACGTTGACTTGACCCCAGTCTGGCCCTAGTCAGCTATATTTCGGGAATCAACCGTGGGCCCATAGTAATGGGTGCCTCAAACTGTTTGAACTCTCTTGTCCGAATCTTCTTAGGGTTGTCTCAAAAGTAGGGGAACTCCAATTGGATTGGGTGGTTTGGCTCCAGTTTCGCTTCAAGACAACCCCACATAGCCTCTACCATCAAGACAGACACACCCAGATAAACAAAAGAGTGCTCAAGATTGATGGACGGTCCAAGAGGGACTTCCACTTCCACAAGCAACTACCCTTTCACGCTTTTTTGGGGCAGGGTTCCTCTACTAAAATAGACTGCAGAAAAAGAATCGGGTACCAACTTATTCTAACCTTTTTACTGGAGGACCTAGCCAAGGCAAACCTGAGATCTACCAGCACCATCCTTTGGGTTGGGGGGCAGAACCAGCGCGTTGGAATTCCCACTCGCAGGACCTCTCCGACCTCCCGGATCGCATCAGGTCGGCCGAGGCGCGGGTGAACGGAGGGACACCCAAAATGGGGCCGGTCCCCAGGTGTTTGTAGAAACGATGGGTGTGTTGGCCCCAAGATCAGCTTGTGTCAACGAGCAGATTGAACTCAGTCCAGGCTCGGAGGTTTAACCCCCAAAAAGCTCCCAGGCCGTTAGGAGCTCCCACCCGGTTGATTTCGGGTTCGCCATTTTTTCAGACACTCAGGCCCTTCCAGCATTCCTTTGCCACCTTATGCAACCGCGAGAGGAGGATGTCCACTTGCACGAGATTGCGCTGCGCGCGGCGCATTTGGCCAGTACTCTGGCCGCACTTGGATGTTTCTTATTTTGGAGCACCTTCTTGTCAGTTCTCCAAAAACCGACCTTTTGACCTTTGGGTTTGCAATGGTGTTCCCTGTTTCGTCAAGGTCCCAAAAGCTTAGTTAACCTTTTGTCTCCACGTCCTTTGGGCAAGTGAGTTTCAGTTGAACGGGCTTAAATGGACGCGGTTCCGTGTTTGTCAACATGGACACCAGGATGTTTGTTAAACTATGTTTGATTCTTGATGTGAGTGCCCCTTTCATTTCCGTTTTAACAATCCTCAAGAGCGTACCCTCAAAACACACCCACTTGGAGTCCTTTTGGGTGTGTGTTTTCGAGGGTTCCCTTTCAGCTTGGTGCAAAGGCAAGCCCAAAGGACCGCCACCACTCTTTGGGTATCCACGTGGCTTGGTCTTTCAATGGGAGAACGCCTGAAACGGACAGTTCATTTTGGTGTGATGTTCAGTCAACCCCAGACAGGGTACACACACGCACACCCCTAAAATGAGCGGTGCCCTTTTGGCGTGCGCTCGGAATCCAGACCTTTCGGATCCACATGGTGCATGCTTCAATCAAACGGTTGAGTAAAACCCAAGCCATTCATTGATTGGCGTTTCTCTGACAGCGTATTGAGGGGTCGTCCTGCTCGCAGTTGTCTGGGATGTAGATCGAGCCTCGCCTGGCTGACGGAAGTTGGGAAGCCTCAAGACTCGCTCGCTCATTGGGGTGCTAAATGGTTTGTTTCAATGTTTTTTTTCAATCGGAAGCCGGGTCAAAACCAATGGGATCCCATTTTGGGGTAAGTGCACCACCCATTTTAGAACCTATTTTAGTGGGATTGGTATGTTCATTGGGGGGCAATTCCGGGATTTTGACCATCATAAGGCCAGAGCCAAAGAGTTAGCTCGAAGCTGAGGCTTCGACCTCTCTTTGGAGGGAAGCTTACTGTACCTCCACCACCTCCTGGTGGCACTCAGCCAGGCCGCTGGGCGGGTGCGTTTTTTCACGTGGTGTTGAGTCGCGTCTTGGGGGCTTTCTTTTCGTCTTTTGATTGGGGGCTTCCCTTTGAAATGAACTACAAGAGTGCCGGGGGCCAAGGAGGGTGTGGGGTGTGTGCGGGGGGTTGGGGGGTTGGGGGGTTGTTTGGGATGCGTGGGGGGCCATTTCCAAAGTAGTGCCTCAAGGATGCTTGCTTGCGTTCCTTGTTGATCTGCTAGGGAGTCACTTCGGTCTTCAAGTAGTTGAGAGGTTCTCATATTGTCTGTTTCGGAAACAAACACACACGTTTGGTTTATGCTGTTAATTTTCAACAACACTAGGTCCCTCAGTGCCCTTTCTCACCCCTTTTTTGGGGGAGGGTTCCCCTACTAAAATAGACTACAGAAAAAAGTTGATACCCTTATTCTAACCTCTCTACTGGAGGGCCTAGAAAGCACACATTTGGTTGATGTGTTGCTGTCTTTGATTTTCAACAAAAAGAAGCGCCCCATTTTCCGCCAGTCTCCCAGCTTTTCCGCAGGTCTCTCCCACGAGCGCGGCTCCGGCTCCGGAGCGCGCGGCTCCGCCGGCGCCTTCTGCGCGCTGGGAGCGGCAGAGGCAGCAGCAGATGAACGCCAGGCATGGGAAATCGTCTGCGAAAGGGAGGCTGTTCCTGTTATTTAGTCATTCACATGGACGATACATTTTTTGCTTGAATCAGGTGGCCACTAGCCACTGTCTACACGTGGTCATCATGTTTGTTTTGTTCCCGAAGGGTACGAGGCGTCCGATGCGACTTTCTTCGGAGCCTCGGACTTGGAGCATTCGTGAAGGCGCGACCCTTAACTAGGGCAGTTGAGTTGCTTCTTGGTTGGGGACAAAAGAGGGCCCCAAGAAGCGCTGGTTTCGAGCTGTTTCCTCAAAAATGGTCAACCACCCAAGGGTAGACAAGTTGTGAAGGTGTCCTTTGATTTCCTTTCAAGGACCCTGTTGGTGCCCTTTTTGCTTAAGGAGGTGTTCCTGGTTGGACTACTTTGAGTGAACAAATCAAATGCATGCACAGTACATTTCCGGTAGGCATGCCAAACTTCTCAGACTGGTTTCTCCCGCAGGCAGTACCTGGCCCATGCACTGGAGATGCTGTCAAGCAAGGCGCGGAATGGGGCCGGTCTCGCGACGTCACTCGATGGCCGAGCCTGGCTTTGAGCCGTGAAGCGTGTGACCTAGTTTAACTTCCCCGTTGAATTCGCAAACTTTAGCTTTTTGATGCGCCCATTTGAGAATATGTGTTATCCTTCCCTGTTTACAGGGAATCTATCACTACTGGACATATATTTTTGACAGGGGACTTCTCAGCAAATGGAGGGATGGCAGGTGTCTTCAGCATAGTCAAGGGCCAAGAGGAGACTTGGTTTGGCCAGTCCACTCAGGTCAGGGAAAGAGATGATGCGTAGCTTTTGTTTCACTTTTATTGATTGTCATGGGCATAGCGGCATAGATGATACAGATTCGGGTGATCCCAAAGTACGAGTCAAAGGCGCCACTGAGTGGGCAACTCAATGACAAGGTCCAAAAGAAGATATAAGCTCCGAAGTAGCCTAAATGTTCAGCCCTTCCCCCCCCTCTTTTCCTCCCCCCATGGGCCAAACAAGACCCCGAAAGAAGACAACTCCAAACCCCTCGCTACCTCGGCCCTCGGCCAGGAAGCTCTGGTCCCGGAAGCTCCGATCCAGGCGAAGACGCGACCGAGTCTTCCGATCAAACTGCTCCTCTTGTTGGTTGCAACCTCTTCCGTTTGCTTAAGGATTTTGTGTTTTTCTTATTTTTTCCCTGTTGGTTTGTCCATATGCTTAAGAATATGCTTGTATTTGTTGATTTTCCCCTGTTGGTTTGAAAGGGAATCTATCACTACTGGGAAATATGATTATGTGTTGGTTTCAAAAGCAAAAAGGCCGCCGGCGATTTCGAGGGTTGCTTCAGTTTGACATAAATTGCCTTGCAAGTTCACTCGACAATGACCACCTGGATGAAAGTCAGTAGGGGACAGTTTCAAGCGGAGATGAACGTGGATGTCCGATTGTTTTATGGCTTTGGGTTCATCCATTTAGTATCGAGTTGTCCTGACCCCAAAATTGGCCATGATTCTTTGGCAAGGTGCCCCCAAAATTCACGGACTTCCTCTGACGTGGGACGCCCGGCTATGAATCTATGAAGCAACCACAGGTTTGTGGATTCATGCCGTTAGCTTGGGAATCTGGACGATCAGGAGCCGCTTTGTTTGGGCTTCCTTGACTGGATCCCCTCCTTTTTCTTCCGGCTGACTTCTGACTTCCGACCAGGTCCTTCGGGTGGCACGCAAGAAAGGGCCAACATGCCGCATTCCATGTGGCCATGGATTGTCATTGAGCCCTTTGGTGGGTATCACTTAGGTGGGGCATTCATGTCCACCAGCCATTTGTCAGGGTGTTCCCCATGAGAATTCCTAGCGATATGTTGGCAACCTAGTTTTGACTCTTACCCTCCCATCAGCTAACATAAGTTTGTGCACAGACCCCTGTCTAAAGACTACTTTCCTCTTGGAAAGGGCCTTCTTGCACTTCCATGTTAGTTGGTGGGAGGGTACTCATGCACACCATCCTGCATCACTTCGTAGGTCTGTGCATCCCAATGTTTGGCTGTTGCTTCAGGCATCGGTGCCTGCAAAGAGCCTTGGCGGCAAGTTGAATCGCAGGACCCAAAATAAAACTGATTTGGGCGTTGGGGGATAGGACTCCAATTTTTGCTGCGATGCAGTTGTTTTAGTTTGGATTTTGTTTATGTCCAATCGGTAAATTGTAGCAGTCAGAGTCATGGTTTTTTGTTAGAAAACATTTCACATGTTTGCTTACTGTGGTTTAGTGGTGGAAATTCCCACTTGGCTGCTAAAGTTTTCAATTTTTTGCTCCCCTTCCAATCGAGGAATCGAGGCGTTTGCGCGGATTGGTGTGAAGGTCATTTCACTTTGCCTGTGCGGGATCCGGATTTGTTTGAACGGAAATGCTTCAGATGGACGGCGACCTCTAAACTTGTTGGCTTCCAGCCATCCGGCCCCTTAGCCTTTTAGCTTTTCAGTGTTTAGTTTCCGAATTTCACCCCAGCCACTAAAGGTGAGTCACTTTTCGCGGGGGATCCGACAACGGGCCCAGGAAAGTATGTCCCTTGGCTAGTGCTGGTCCTCCTTTCGCCTGGACTGGAGCCCTGGTGGGCGGGTGCTTGAGAGGGACTTCCCTATTTACTTGGCTACCTTCCAGTTGTTTAAGAATTGTTGTTTTCCCCTGTTGGTTTTAAAGGGAATCTATCACTACTGCAAATATGTTGGGATTTTTCCAGGGGTCTTAACCAAATGGAAGCTATGGTTCCCTCTTAGACATCGAACACTTTTGGACCTCCCTGTTTGGTCTTTGGGTATGCGACTCTTCCAGAGCCAGGCGGATAATTTAGATTCCACCATGGCTTTTGGTAGGTATTTAAAACTGTTTGCCGCGGGAAGTCTGATCAACCTTTCGCGAACCTCCTTGGCTTCAAAAGCAAACCCGAACACCAGAAAGACAGCAGAAGGTTCCTGTTTCATGGCAACCCAAGGGAACCACTTGCTGGTGTTGCGCAGGGAATGAGTCATGGAATGACCCCTATAAACCATCCCTTGTGGTTTCCTTTCAGGGTACTCCTGGGTTCATTCCCACATTCCCTGAGCACCAAGACCTGGCGCCTGAAACCTCCTTGGCTTCAAAAGCAAACCACCAGAAAGACGTAGCAGCAGGGTTTTTTTCGTTTCAAAGCAACCCCCAAAAAGAATCCAAAACAAAAAGGAGGTTTTTCCGTTTCAAAGCGACCCAAAAAAACCACACAATAAAAAACAACTCTTGCCCTTTCGCGGTTAGGCTGGACTGCTGGACCTTGGGCTTCTCGGAGGACCTCTGCTGCAACTTGGCCCTCGGCCCCGAGGGCAACGCTGCCTGCTGGGACGAGGCGCGGATTCGGCGCGTCGGCGCGTTCATGCGGATGGTGGGCAGTTGGAGGAGGTTTCGCGGTCCTTTGTGTATGCGCTACTTGCGCACACACACACACACACACACATGTGTGTTGCTTTTTTCACTAAGAGGAAACCCAAGGGGACGGATATGGGGTTGTTTTTGCAAGACCTGTTTTTGGTGACCCGTTTTTTTGGTTGGGCATTGAGCTGCCTGTATCAGTCTTGCTTTGCCGCTTTGTGTCGTCGCTTGAATTGCATGGGGCACCACTCCTGAATGAACGCAAGAACCCACAAGTCTCTCTTTAAAAAAAAATCAGAAAGGAGCCCATGGATGCTTGCATCCTTGTGGAGGGAAGAAAGGACCTGGATGGGTTTGTGCCTTTGCGAGCACGAAACCCCAAGACTTTCAGCAGCTAAAGAACCTGTTTGGGGAGGGTAAATGACAACCGCCTCTGCTTATATGTTTTGGAACTCTGACAGAGGCTCATGTCTCAAATCATTCCCCCCTCAGCCTACTGTTTTTCTCAGGGTACCCTTCTTGGATCGATTAACAGGAAACGAGAGAGACATTCACAAGCTTTTGGGCGGGGTCCGTATTTTGACACAAACCCAACATATGTACTGGAGGCTTAGCAAAACGAGTTGGTGCCGTTAAGATAATAAGGCCTCAAGCCTGCCTTGGTTGCTCTGTGGTTCGACCTTCAACCGCTCGCCCGCTTGATGAGAGCCCAAGCCGCCTGTTGGCGGTTTACATCAAGGCCTAGACCCTTATGCGCATGCTGCTAGAATCGAAGGTCATGGGTTTTTGGGCGCTACTCACTTGGACAATTTCCGGTATGCCTGCCGACTGAAAGAGAGACCCTATTGAAATGAGTTTTGAACATGGCTGATTTACTTTCAGAGGGAGGAAGACGAGACCGACCAATCATGGGGACCGATTTAATAGTGATTGAGCCCTCACAGGCTTGAACTCGAAGAAATTGAGTGTGCAGTCTCGAGTCCTTGCTCATGAATTGCCAGCATTTCTCTGCCGAGCTTTTGCACTCTGATTCAGCGTCGCTGTTTCTGTTGACCTCAAATGAAACCTGCTCCAACCATTTCAAGTGATGCACACGATGCTGGTTTCAACATCTGATGAAAAGCCTTTTGCTTCATGAGAGGTTGATGTTTGGTTTCCGGATCCCCGGCAGGTTCTAGGTCCCCCAGTAGTGCCCTTTTACGGTTCCCCTACTAAAATAGACTAAACCGAAAACACAATCGGATACCAACTTATTCTAGCCCCTCAAATCTGGAGGACCTAGGGTTGGTAGGGAGACTTTGTGCTTCGGATTCCCAGGAGTACACCTTTGCAGCCTGCTGCCCCGAGCCCGGTTGAGTGAGAAAAAGTCCCTGGCGTCCTCCGATGTTGGCTCGCTCGAACCCCCCCGCCGGCCGGAAAGCTGGCAAAACTGGCTTTTGACCCCCAGTCCCGTTTTTACCCCCCTTTCGTTTTTTTTTTTTGAAAAAAAATCCAGCCCACAAACAAAAGGCAGAATGGCTGTGAAAAAACAGGTGTACAGGTGAAAAAACGCCAGGGTCCCCCAAAAAATACGCCAGGGCTCAGCAGCTGAGACGGAACCAAACTGCTCAAGGGATCGAGCCCTTTTTGCTGATGAACTATTCAATCTTTAAGGGCATCACCCAGTCACGCCTTGACTGCTATTGGGTTGGATCTTTGGACTTTAACTTTTTGGTTGAAAATCAAGTTGGGTTTCCACTAAAGCCCCAAACAGTTAAACTTTTTGCACGGGGGTCAACAGCAACCAAGATACAAATTCACGACTTGTTACACTGAATAGTCACTCGCTTCAGGTTGTGCGAACTGAAAGAGCAATCACCTGCAGAGAATATAGTCGGCTGACCTGCCTGCGGCTGAAAAAACAATTCTATGACTCGAGAAACCACCGGCTGCACAAACTCAACGAGCTCACCTGGTGAAACGGGTCAGTGATGCAGATCCCTGGCTTGAAGAATCCCTTTCTGATTTATCAACTAGGTCCCCCAGTATTGCCCTTTTACCCTTTTTGGGGGGAGGGGTACTCTTATTCTAACCTCTCTACTGGAGGACAGCTCAATCATGGCTTGCGGGTTGACAAAGATAGGGGGTCTGTTTTGGGACGGTTCCATTTTTGTGCCGAAACAATCTTGTCAAACCCTTGTGTTTTGTCACCGGGGAGTTGGCGTGGTGCCTCCCCTCCTCTCCCCGTCCATCAAGGTTGACAAGGTTTGGACACGTGCCGAAAAACGAGACTTTTGGAGGAATCTCCGGGCCCTTCAGTCCTCGTCCTTGTGCTTCTGGCCCCTTCGCCAATTGAACCTGAAGTCACCTGGAGAGCCTCTTCGGTTCAGCCTTCTGGTCAATGGGGCTTTAGATTACATGGCAACAGTGGCTTTTTGTTTTGAGCCCAAAAGAGTCGCGATTTAGCGCGGGCCGGGGGGGGGGGGAAAGGGGCGGTGCTGTTAATGAGGGGGGCTGACGTTCTAAGGGGGGCCCCCGGCTTTGAGCTTGAACACCTCGTAATTTTAAGCAAGAGTAAGAAATCTATGTTTGGGGAGAAACACATGTTTTGGGACAACTTGGGGTTTAATAATGGCTCAGTATTAATGGGTTTGAGCACAGACTAAGCAAATACTGATGCAAAAAGCAAAGTCCCTTTTTTGGCAGGTGTTTGGCTTGGGGGCTCACCTCGAGGCCCAAAGAAGCCTTTCAGAACGCGAGGCAATCGTGCACTGACATTAGCGAATTGTGGTGTGTCCCTTTGAAACAATCTGAAAAGGGTACCCTGAACGAGAAACACACACTTGGAGAATCGCCAAGCGTTTAGGCCATTTAAGGGTATTCCCGAACTTGGCTTTGGAGGGGTATATATAGGAAGACGTACATAAACCTATAGAGCCATGTTGATGGAACGCATATTCAGTGGGTGTTGGGCGCTCACATGGACCCTTGACAAACACCACATCCAGGATCTGGCTGTGGCTCCAAAGTAGGGGACTGCCCAACACCGCTTGCAAAAACAAACTGACAAAATACAATCTGCAGTGTTTGAGTCCATTTGTGAGCTATGTGTATTTTGGGCTTTGGGAATTCAACAGACAAATCCAGGGTCCCTGAAGGACTGTTGGCCCAGGAAAAATGGAGGGCCATTGTTGTTCAGGAGTTGTTTCTCTACGAAGCCGGAAAGCCTAAACCCGCCCTAAAGAATACCCACAGAAACCTTAAACCCGCCCTAACTCAACCCTAAGCCTACCCTACACAGCCTCAACCCGCCCTTCACCAGCGCTAAACCCTAAACCCACCCTAAGCCAGCTTCAGCCCACCTTAAACCGATCCTAGACAAACCCTAAACACCTTGCTCAAAACCGCACAGCCGTTTCCTAAACCCATCCCCGCGGCCAAACCAACCAAGCCCACACCAACCCATCCCAAAGAAACCCTCAACCTCCCTAAACGCACCGAACCCTCAGAAACAGACGACCATTGGTACCATTTAAACTGGTACCCCCCAAAAAAACGTAGCCTATCGAAACCCTTCCCACGTTGACTAGGTCCCCCAGCAGTGCCCTTTTACCCTTTTTTGGGGCAGGCTTCCCCTACTAAAATAGGCAAAGCCGAAAGAATCGGGTACCAACTTCTCAAGAAAGTCTCTCTAATCTGGAGGACCTAGCTTCCCACGATTGGTACCACTTAAACTGGCACCAAAAAAAACTCGTGGCCCATCGAAGCCCTGAGCGGTCCAGTCTCTCGTTCCTTCGCGAAGGAGATCTCCGTGCTCGAGGGCAAGCTGCACTCGCTGCGCGTTGAAGGGGCCCAGGAGGCACGAGTCGCACGAGCTGCGCTCGGCTCGAACAGCTGCGCTCCTTTGTCTGTTTTGGTTTTTTTGACACGCGACCCGCATGGATATACGGTATGTACCCCCTTTAAATTGGAGGCTTTATATTACATATGTATATGTATATATGTACATATATATATATATATATATGCACACTTCTGTATCTTTATGGAGTGGTTGCATGTTCCACTAAACGCCTGGGACCTGCTGTGGCCGGACACGAAGTGCCTCCCTGCATTAGCTTTGCGTTTCGAATAGAATGGAATTGGGGAAGGGGAGGAATGAGCATGGGATTCAGGTGTATTAGACCACCCCTATTTTTGGTGGGGTGGTCTCCCAGAAGAGGTCTGTGCACCTCGGGATTAAGGGAGGTGTTGTTTGTATCAGGCTGGTACGTGTCACGTGGCATAGACTGGTGACATGGGCCCACTCACCGCTGCCGATCGTGACTCCAATCCCTATACCACTGAAGACTTTGCTGGCATGTACATGGCAGGGCATGATGTATTGGCATGCTGTGGTCAGCCAAAAACACCACTGGCTCATACATTCGCGCCTGTCTTCCTTGCCACAATTCGGTCATTCCAGACAAACGTTGAACTGGCGCCTAATAGCCTGCCTGGACTATTGCTGTGGCCAGCAGGTCACATACCGCCATAGAATGAATTTGTGGCACCATCTTCATGTGTGGGCTCAGGCTACTCCGTGAGTTCACTTTGAATTGGGTGTTGGCAGTTCTTGTCGGAGTCGGCCGTATCAGATGCATGAGAGAGGTGAGTGATGTGCTGGCTGTGCAGTTGCGCAGACGCTACTCTTTGGTTCGAGCTGCGTCATTTCTGTCTTCCAGACGACCGTGGAACTGGCGCCTAATAGCCTGCCTGGACTATTTGCTGTGGCCAGCAGGTCACATACCGCCATAGAATGAGTTTTTGGCACCAGCTTCATTTGTGGGCTCAGACTACTCCGTGAGTTCACTTTGAATTGGGTGTTGGCAGCTCTTGTCAGAGTCGACCGTATCAGATTCAGAAGAGATGCTTGTGATGTGCTGGCTGTGCAGTTGCGCAGACGCTGCTCTTTGGTTCGAGCTGCATGTCATTTCAGTCTTTCAGAGAAGCGTGGAACTGGCGCCTAATAGCCTGCCTGGACTATTTGCCGTGGCCAGCAGGTCACATACCGCCATAGAATGAAGGTGTGGCACCAGCTTCATTTGTGGGCTCAGACTACTCCGTGAGTTCACTTTGAATTGGGTGTTGGCAGTTCTTGCCGGAGTCGGCCGTATCAGATGCATGAGAGAGGCGTGTGATGTGCTGGCTGTGCAGTTGCGCAGACGCTACTCTTTGGTTCGAGCTCATATCTATGTCTTCCAGAGAAACGTGGATCTGGCGCCTAATAGCCTGCCTGGACTATTTGCTGTGGCCAGCAGGTCACATACCGCCATAGAATGAGTTTTTGGCACCAGCTTCATTTGTGGGCTCAGACTACTCCGTGAGTTCACTTTGAATTGGGTGTTGGCAGCTCTTGTCAGAGTCGACCGTATCAGATTCAGAAGAGATGCTTGTGATGTGCTGGCTGTGCAGTTGCGCAGACGCAGCTCTTTGGTTCGAGCTGCATGTCATTTCAGTCTTTCAGAGAAGCGTGGAACTGGCGCCTAATAGCCTGCCTGGACCAATTTGATGTGGCCAGCAGGTCACATACCGCCATAGAATGAAGGTGTGGCACCAGCTTCATTTGTGGGCTTAGACTTCTCCGTGAGTTCACTTTGAGTTGGGTGTTGGCAGTTCTTATCGGAGTCGGCCGAATCAGATACATGAGAGATGCTTGTGATGTGCTGGCCGTGCAGTTGCGCAGACCCTACTCTTTGGTTCGAGCTCATATCTATGTCTTCCAGAGAAACGTGGATCTGGCGCCTAATAGCCTGCCTGGACCTATTTGCTGTGGCCAGCAGGTCACATACCGCCATAGAATGAATTTGTGGCACCAGCTTCGTTTGTGGGCTCAGACTTCTCCGTGAGTTCACTTTGAATTGGGTGTTGGCAGTTCTTATCGGAGTCGGCCGTATCAGATGCATGAGAGATGCTTGTGATGTGCTGGCCGTGCAGTTGCGCAGACGCTACTCTTTGGTTCGAGCTGCATGTCATTTCTGTCTTCCAGAGAAACGTGGAACTGGCGCCAAATAGCCTGCCTGGACCAATTTGATGTGGCCAGCAGGTCACATACCGCCATAGAATGAAGGTGTGGCACCAGCTTCATTTGTGGGCTCAGACTTCTCCGTGAGTTCACTTTGAGTTGGGTGTTGGCAGTTCTTATCGGAGTCGGCCGAATCAGATACATGAGAGATGCTTGTGATGTGCTGGCCGTGCAGTTGCGCAGACCCTACTCTTTGGTTCGAGCTCATATCTATGTCTTCCAGAGAAACATGGATCTGGCGCCTAATAGCCTGCCTGGACCTATTTGCTGTGGCCAGCAGGTCACATACCGCCATAGAATGAATTTGTGGCACCAGCTTCGTTTGTGGGCTCAGACTTCTCCGTGAGTTCACTTTGAATTGGGTGTTGGCAGTTCTTATCGGAGTCGGCCGTATCAGATGCATGAGAGATGCTTGTGATGTGCTGGCCGTGCAGTTGCGCAGACCCTACTCTTTGGTTCGAGCTCATATCTATGTCTTCCAGAGAAACGTGGATCTGGCGCCTAGTAGCCTGCCTGGACCTATTTGCTGTGGCCAGCAGGTCACATACCGCCATAGAATGAAGTTGTGGCACCAGCTTCGTTTGTGGGCTCAGACTTCTCCGTGAGTTCACTTTGAGTTGGGTGTTGGCAGTTCTTATCGGAGTCGGCCGTATCAGATGCATGAGAGATGCTTGTGATGTGCTGGCTGTGCAGTTGTGCAGACGCTACTCTTTGGTTCGAGCTCATATCTATGTCTTCCAGAGAAACGTGGATCTGGCGCCTAATAGCCTGCCTGGACCTATTTGCTGTGGCCAGCAGGTCACATACCGCCATAGAATGAATTTGTGGCACCAGCTTCGTTTGTGGGCTCAGACTTCTCCGTGAGTTCACTTTGAATTGGGTGTTGGCAGTTCTTATCGGAGTCGGCCGTATCAGATGCATGAGAGATGCTTGTGATGTGCTGGCTGTGCAGTTGCGCAGACGCTACTCTTTGGTTCGAGCTGCATGTCATTTCAGTCTTCCAGACGAACGTGGAAGTGGCGCCTAATAGCCTGCCTAGACTATTTGCTGTGGCCAACAGGTCACATACCGCCATAGAATGAAGTTGTAGGAGGATCTTCATTTGTGGGCTCAGGCTACTCCGTGAGTTCACTTTGAATTGGGTGTTGGCAGCTCTTGTCAGAGTCGGCCGTATCAGGATGTGCTGGCTGTGCAGTTGCGCAGACGCTACTCTTTGGTTCGAGCTGCATGTCATTTCAGTCTTCCAGATAATCGTGGAACTGGCGCCTAATAGCCTGCCTGGACTATTTGCCGTGGCCAGCAGGTCACATACCGCCATAGAATGAAGGTGTGGCACCAGCTTCATTTGTGGGCTCAGACTACTCCGTGAGTTCACTTTGAATTGGGTGTTGGCAGTTCTTGTCGGAGTCGGCCGTATCAGATGCATGAGAGATGCTTGTGATGTGCTGGCCGTGCAGTTGCGCAGACCCTACTCTTTGGTTCGAGCTCATATCTATGTCTTCCAGAGAAACGTGGATCTGGCGCCTGATAGCCTGCCTGGACCTATTTGCTGTGGCCAGCAGGTCACATACCGCCATAGAATGAATTTGTGGCACCAGGGCTCAGACTTCTCCGTGAGTTCACTTTGAGTTGGGTGTTGGCAGTTCTTATCGGAGTCGGCCGTATCAGATGCATGAGAGATGCTTGTGATGTGCTGGCTGTGCAGTTGTGCAGACGCTACTCTTTGGTTCGAGCTCATATCTATGTCTTCCAGATAATCGTGGAACTGGCGCCTAATAGCCTGCCTGGACTATTTGCCGTGGCCAGCAGGTCACATACCGCCATAGAATGAAGGTGTGGCACCAGCTGCATTTGTGGGCTCAGACTACTCCGTGAGTTCACTTTGAGTTGGGTGTTGGCAGTTCTTATCGGACTCAGCCGTATCAGATGCATGAGAGATGCGTGCGATGTGCTGGCTGTGCAGTTGCGCAGACGCTACTCTTTGGTTCGAGCTCATGGCATTTCTGTCTTCCAGAGAAACGTGGAACTGGCGCCAAATAGCCTGCCTGGACCAATTTGATGTGGCCAGCAGGTCACATACCGCCACAGAATGAATTTGTGGCACCAAGTTCATTTTTGGGCTCAGACTACTCCGTGAGTTGACTTTGAGTTGGGTGTTGGCAGTTCTTGTTGGAGTCGGCCGTATCAGATGCATGAGAGATGCTTGTGATGTGCTGGCTGTGCAGTTGCGCAGACGCTGCTCTTTGGTTCGAGCTCATGTCATTTCTGTCTTCCAGACGAACGTGGAAGTGGCGCCTAATAGCCTGCCTGGACTAATTTGCTGTGGCCAGCAGGTCACATACCGCCATAGAATGAGTTTTTGGCACCATCTTCGTTTGTGGGCTCAGACTTCTCCGTGAGTTCACTTTGAATTGGGTGTTGGCAGTTCTTATCGGAGTCGGCCGTATCAGATGCATGAGAGATGCTTGTGATGTGCTGGCTGCGCAGTTGCGCAGACGCTACTCTTTGGTTCGAGCTCATGTCATTTCTGTCTTTCAGAGGATCATAGGACCAGCGCCGAATAGCCAACTCATTTTGAATTGGGTGTTGGCAATTCTTGTCAGTGTTTAAGGTATCACATTTGCAAGAGACGCAGGTGACCGCGGTGATAGTCACCTGGGGTGACAGAGGTTTGTGCTGTTCTTGCGCAGGTCTTGTGAGAGTTCTTTTCGCTTCGGGATCAAATTGTGGGTCCGCCTGAGGTGTTGCAAGCAGCCGCAGTCCTATCGATCTCTGGCCTGTCAAGACCCTGTGGATGTACTTCCGGTTTGGAACGTATTGTAATGTACTGTGTATATGTTGTGTGTTTCACGCAGAGACTGAGAGACATTGAATATGTGCCATGCATTTTACTAGGTAACCGCCTCAAAAGTGGTTGGTGGACATGAATCCTGTCCACCCAATTGATTGTAGGCATCTCAGATTCCTGGTGCAACTCAACCCCTCGCTTGAGCCCGTCAGATCAACATGCTGAACCTTCACATCGAGGATGTTGAGGACGCATTTCGCTGAAGCCAATAGACCTTTGGAGTTTAAATGACCTGCTGGTTTCCAGTGTTGTGGGTCCCTTCCTACATGGAGGGGTTCTTGGGTGTGTGTGTGTGTGTGTTTTTTTCCTTTTTCCTGCGGGGGGGGGGGGGGGGGTTCCCTTGAAACCACCATTCAGAGGCTGATTTCGAGGATGCCAAAGGTGATAGTCATCCCGCCAGATAAACCGTGTCTTGCCACTTTGTTTGCGCTAGCACGGGATTTGTACTTGGCCACAAACTGGTTCGGAAGCTGACCTGCAACGAAGCTTTTTTTCATGGGGTGCCCTAACGTTTTGTTGGTTTCCAAGATGTCTTCCACGACCCCCCAAATCGCGCCCCGCAAGCGATGAGTGGATATACAGTAGCCACCAGCCACCATGACACGGTACATACCCAGTTTCCCGTTAGGTGGTTTGCGGGCTAGCAGAACTTCGATTGTTGCAACCATGAGCCAGCGTGGTGCGTTGCAGGGATTCATAGAACAAATTGAGTTCCCTCAATCCCCACTGTGTTTCATGAACCCATGAGAAGAAAATCGGATCACTTGCCGCAGGGGTGCAAAGCAGTCCACAAAAAGGGGCCGAAGATCGGCAACCTGTTTCCCCCTGGCTGCAAAGTGACACCAGAGCCAACCTCTAAATGGCAGAAAGTAGATTCGAGAACCCTTCAACCTGTGATGTTCACTAACCCCTACCCCACTGTCATGACCCCTTCCATCCCCCAACCAACCGCCTTCCCGATCCCTGCCACCTCCCGCCAGGACAAGACGATACAGGGAGGCCAGCAACTCGAAAAGATGAGGACTCCCACACTTCGCGTCTGCCTGGCCAAAGTTCAAAGGCCTCAAAAGGCTCCCATTCTGCGGTGAGTTTCGCCTTTGCGGTTACTTCTCCCTCAGAAAGTCCGTTTCTTGACTGCTATTGGGCAACGGATCTTTAGACTTAAACATTTTTGGTTGAAATAAAGTTGTGTTTTCCACTAAACGCCCAAAAAGTTAAACTAAGGTTTGGCTTCTCAAATTCCAACCAAGACGGTCCGAGAGACTCCATTTTTGAGAAAGACTCGTGTGAGGGCTCTGTCCCTTAGACAAGCTGTGTCTGAGTCAGTCACCTTACTTCGACCCCCGGCTACCAAGGTGCCAAGCGCTCTGAGCCAATATCCCAGACACCTACTCATAGTGGTTGTTTTTTGTTGTTTCTTCTTTCAACCTGTAAATCAACCGGGAATATTTGTTGGACATGGAGCGACCGGGTCTCCAGTCGGATTCCCCAGGTCTAAAATCCGGTTTCTGAAGCCAGCGCCGAAATCAAGGACGCCTCCTTTTTCGTTGGGACAAGAAAGAGGTTTACTAGGTCCAGCAATTGGTGCCAACTTTGTCACCGTTCCTTTTTTGGGGTTGGAAGGGTTCCCCTACTAAGATAGACTACAGAGAAAAGTTGCTGCCCTTATTCCAACCTCTCTACTGGAGGACCTAGAAGAGGTTCAGGGACCCAGTTTCTGTGATACCAAGGCAATCCCCTTTGAAGCGGTGTTGCAGACATTAGAAATCCTAGTTTGGTACATCCTGGCAAGGCTTGAGCAAGGTTGCGATCAACGGCACATCCGGCAAAGGACTCAACAAACAACAAATCACAGTTCCGACAGTTGACATCCTGAGACATGAATCCCTCCCTTCCCAACTAACACGAAAATAAGGGAAGGGACCCTTCCCCTCTTTTGTACAGAATCTCGCTTGTGCACTGAACAAATTGGGAGTGCAAGGATTGGAGGCTCACCACCCGCGACGGGGAAGTTGCAGTCTATGAGGTCTCAGTTTTGATTACCCCCAGTGGCTGGATCTTTGCTCGGATGCTCTACCAAGCAAGCAGACTCTACTTCTTGCAGGGCAATAGACAACAACATGGTTGTTGTTGGGAAACATTTTACATTTTTGCTTATTGTGGTTTAGTGGGAAATCCCCACTTAGCTGCTGAAAATTATTATTTTGTGCTCCCCTTCCAACGTCAATCGAGACAACCTGCATAGCACCCGTTGGAACCCAATTTGTTAGACCGCCTTTGGGGACACACTCTAATTGCGCTCATGCAGAGCTCACCGCTAGGTTTTCATGGGCTCACCCGAGATGAAGGTTCCTTGAAAGTCCCCTGATGCAAGCTGGCGAACATGAGGCAATGAGTAGTCCAGAGTTCCTGTTTTACTCAGTCTCATTTGGCTGTGGGTCAAAACCAATGGTACCATGTTGGGGTAGGTGCACCACCCATTTTAGTGTATTTTTGGTGGGGATTGGGATGTTCACTGGGGGTACGGGATTTTGACCCATGGCCATTTGATCAGTTGCACTTTTTGTTTGGTTCCCCTCTTTGCACGATCAGTCCCAAGGAGATTTCCTTTTTTCTACTGTTCGGGAAGGCTCAGACTCCAACTCGCTCCGCGCCGATCCGCCGATCCGCGGCCGATCCGCCGATCCGTGGCTCAACTAGGCACTGAACACGGGCGGTCGCCTGGGTGCTCAGGTGACAACAGGATCACTCTGTGTGAAAACGAGCTTGCTGGTCGGTTGGTCAGTCAGTCGGTCGGTCGATCTGGCGCTGGGTTCGTTTAGTTTATCGGATGGTTGGTTGGTTGGTTGGTTGGTGGGTTCGTTGGTTGGTTGGTAGGATAGTTGTGTTTCACTTCTGATCAGCTTGATACATTGCATGTGTGTGTGTGTCTCCGGTTTGCACTTGTTGGCTTGGAGACTTGCGCATGTGAGTGCCCGTTTGTCTTGCAACCTGTGCAAGATGAGGCCATTCATGTTTTGCACGCTGACAGCCTTCTGCACTGCCATCTATAAAATTGTATTCCAGGTGCATGTCGCAGTGGGAGCAGGCGTTATGCCGACTGGCCTTTGAGGTATGTAAGCAGGATATATCTTGCATCAATTCTGGACTACATACTTTCCAGGAGGATGATGCAAGGACCATAGTGGCAAACATCACGTTTGGGAAGTGAGTCGGTGGATGTAAGAAAAAGGTGCGACTTGCCAAACCAACCCTAAACTCCCACTTTTCGACAAACACCGACCTTTCACTTACACCAAGATACCACACCAACACCATGTCACAAGTCAGTCGACATTCGGCGAGCAAGCCCAGGTTGCAGCCGCGCAGGCTGGGGATCCGATGTTTGTCCACCGTTTCTAAGACGGACTACCCTAAACCCACCCCAAACCTTTGTCCGTTAGTGTCTCCTTTCGTGCATGCCGGGCTGTGCCAGGGTTAGGCTGCCAGGGCTATGCCAAAAATAGCCTTTCTAAGACTCTTCCTCTGGTTTGGGTGTGGACTCGTGAACATATCCGGATGATTTGGGTTTATGGCCTCTGTTCAACTTGGGCCTTTTCTTCAAGCGGCCGAGAGAGTGCCTTTTGAACATCGAGATTTGATTCTCCCTCGCTCCAAGAAGCCAAGAGGTAGGATGAGGACAGGTGCCTGAAGAGAAGGCCGCATCGGTTCTTTGGTTCGAGGCTTCCCTTTCTTCTGTTTGCATGAAGGAAACATCCAGAAGGAAGAACCCAACATGTTGGGGCTTAAAACAACAAGTTCTTCTGTTTTGCTGAAAGAAAAGCCAGAAGGAAAAACCCACCATTTCGAAGTTCTTCTCTTTGCTGAAAGAACAGCCAGAAGGAAAACCCACCATTTCGGGGCTTAAAACAACAAGTTCTTCTGTTTGCTGAAACAAAAGCCAGAAGGAAAAACCCACCATTTCGAAGTTCTTCTGTTTGCTGAAAGAAAAGCCAGAAGGAAAAACCCACCATTTCGAAGTTCTTCTGCTTGCTGAAAGAAAAAGCCAGAAGGAAAAGCCCACCATTTCGGGGCTTAAAACAACAAGTTCTTCTGTTTGTTCAAAGAAAAGCCAGAAGGAAAAACCCACCATTTCGGGGCTTAAAACA